ATTTCCTGAATCTATCCCCAGATCCCTTGGAGTTGTGTGGATCCTAGGTTAAGAATTCCTATTCTAGTGACTGGCTGGCTGAAGAATCAACAGCACCTCTAGTGGCCTCTAAAAAGAGGCAGAAGGAGGTAGCTAGGTGGTGCAGTGGATAGAGCACTGGCCCTGGAGTCAGGAGGACCTGCTGTTCAAATCTAGCCTCGGGCACTTGCCTCCCACTAGCTGTGTGGCCCTGGGCAAGTCACTTAACCCTGATTGCCTCATCAAAAAGAAAAAAAAAAGGCAGAAGTCAGAGGATATGCTGCTCTGAATCTTTTCCCTTTCACCTCTCAAAATTCAACAAGGAATAGGAGCTGTTGACTTCTCTCTCTTCCCCCAATGGTGTCATGCAAGAAAAGTATCCATGGGAACTGAGAGAGTCTAACTTAAGCTAGTCAACATGAGTTGATTTGATCAGAGGAGTGGAGAAGACAGTGCTTGGAGCTGAGATCCTGCTTGGGACATGTTGGAACCCAGGGTGGAGAGTCTTGCGTTCCTACAACATGGGTTCTTCCCCCAAAGTTCAGAGTAGTACCATAGGCTAGAATTTCAGTTCAACCTGAAGCTGAAGGAAGTGTAGACAAAAGCCACGCATCAGAGCCACAAATCTCATCCAGGAGCAGGTCCAAGGCATCTTTGGAGCATCTCAGCTCAGCAGAGATTCTGTTCCCCACGAGGAATAGAGCAAAGACATTATGAGAAGATATGCTGGGAGTGGGGCACGGGGGAAGGTTGTGGCTTTACTAGGTAGGGCTTTTCAGTAAATTCCTCAGCCTTGATCATGGCAAGGAGAAACTTTGGCAAACTCTTCATCTGTTTCCCCCTTCAGTCAAGGTGGTCTGTAGTACACTCCCATGACAATATTGCTCCATTGATCTTTCCTTATATTTCCACCTTCCAATTGCTAGATTTCCTCACAAAATTATGTCTTTTTAGTATACATTCATACTTCTCCTCCAGTTTTATCTATTGTATTTCTTCAAGTAAGGTATAACTTTAGATAAGCACAATCCAATCATAAGCCCATTCCACCAAACCTCATTAATTCCTACAAATTCAATCAAAAAGGTTGAATTTCCTTACATTAATCAGTCAAGCATCTATTAAGTACCTATGACATGGAAGGCACTGTGCTGAGTGCTAAAACCCCAGAAGCCTAGCCCTGTGTCCTACACTGAATAAATGCTTCTTGACTTGGCCATACAAAGAATGAAACAGTCCTTACTCACCATGAGCTTACAGTCTAATGGGAAAGATATTTTAATTGGGGATACGACAAGTACGTATAAAAATATAACCAGCACAAATATCTCTTGTTCAATTTGTTTATTACCTGTACTTTATACATTTGTGTATAGCCATCTGAGCCCATGGATTTTATTGGATTTTGTCTCCTGTGAATTATTGGACGTATCTACCCGCTCGCCTTCCTTTGTTGTAACTGCTCCTTTCTACGGTATCTGGCTTGGCAGATATATGTAGGAAGGAAGTTTTTTTCCCTTTTCTCCCTTTTCACTTTTCAGCTGTCTCCATAAAAATGGTCAATAAGTCAAATACATACACACAATATGCACACACGTGTATATATTTGCTTCAAGTCATATGTGTGTGTGTGTGTGTATACACTCATACACATCCATACACACATATGTATATGTTCTCTTTAGGGACCCTCCGAATTGGCTGAGAGCTCACCTTTCCTACATTTTCCTGAGAGCGATAGAAGGATCGTAAGATTTGGAGTTGGAAGGGACCTCATTGAACATCTAACTTAATCCCCTTGTTTGACGGATGAGGAAACAATGCTTGGCTTAGTAGTATGCCATCTCTGTGCAAGAAATGAGCTCCCTAGTAGAAACCCTATCAAAGTCCTCTCTAATGATTCTCTTCTCCGCCCTCTGCCACCAAAATTACATTTGTTTCCTTTTTCTTTGTCCATCTTGTTTTCCCCAAGTGGGGAAGAGGGACTGTTGGGTCTTGTCTTTCTTTCCCCAGTCCCTACCAAAGTGTCCAGTAGAAAGTAGTCACTTAAAAAATACTTGTTAAATGAATGAATTTATAGTCCCATTTTTCTCTTGAGTGAGCTAACTTATTCAATTGCCTTTGTTCTGAAATTGCCAACTGGTCTGGTCTGGTTCTGTTTGTTGACCTTTGTTCTGAAGAGTACCAAAATAATGTCACTCTGTCAGGGTCAAGGTATGGTGCATCCTACGGTGGCTGATCAGACCAGTAGGGGTTTGGAAGGCTCCACCACAGGTCGGGCACAAACCGTCCATATGAACATTTGGAGTGAAGATAGCTTTAAATTTGCTCATCTTACATTTCTTTTGAACTACTGCAATTCTGCTTTGCTTATGGAGCACACTGCCTTCTTTGATGAGGGCATACCACGCTGGACAGTCCTGTGCCAGTGCCTCCTATGTCTCATAATTAATTCCAAAGTTCTTCAGAGAGACCTTGAGAGTGTCCTTGTATCGTTTCTTCTGACCTCCATGTGAACACCTGTCTTCTGTGATTTCTCCATACAATAGTCTTTTATGCATTCAAACAACATGGCCAGCCCATCAGAGTTGTGCTCTCTGCAGTAACGTTTGAATGCTTGTCCGTTCAGTTCAAGAAAAGAGCTCAGTATCTGCTATCTTACCCTGCCAGGTGATCTTCATAATCTTCCTAAGACAATTAAAATAGGAGCGATTCAGTTTCCTGGCATGGCACCGGTAGACTGTCCAGGCTTCACAGGCAAACAACAGTGAGGTCTACAGTGGCTCTGTAGACCTTCAGCTTGGTAGTCAGACTAATACCTCTTCTCTCCCACACTTTCCTTTGGAGCCTCCCAAACACTGAGCTAGCTCTGGCAGTGTGTGCATCAACCTCATTATCAATGTGAACATCCCTGGAAAGTAAGGTAAGTGAACTTATCGACAACATTCAAAATTCTCCATTTGCTGCAACCAATGGCTCCAAGTATGGATGATGCGGTGCTGGCTAGTGGAGAACATGTGTTTTCTTGGTGTTAATTGTTAGGCCAAAATAAGCACAAGTGATAGAGAGTGGACCCATACTTTGTTGCATCTCTGCCTCAGAGGCTGCACTGAGTTCACAATCATCTGCAGACAAAAAGTCATGCAGCAACTCTCCCTGCACTTCAGTCTTGGCTTGTAGCCTTTTCAGGTTAAATAATTTACCATCAGTGTGGCAGCTGACCTTGATGCCGTTTTCATCCTTATTGAAGGTGTCTGACCACATCGCTGCTAAAAATCATGGTAAAACACAGTCTTGCTTCACTCCACTGGTAACTAGGAAAGTTTGAGAGCATTGCCTATTATCCAGAATCCATGAAAGCACAATGTCATGAAATCGATGTATAATACTGATGAATTTCTCCTGGGTGACCAAATTTTGCCATGACTTTCCAAATTATGATTTTCACTGCTACCCCACTAATGACTGGAAGAAACTTACAGCTGGTGTTCAGGAAGACAAACTACAGGCCAGTGGACTTGGCTTCTCTTCTGGACAAAGTTCTAAAGGCTACTACTTCAGGTATGGTTCATCTTGGAAAAGAAGCAACAAGGCTAGACTAATTTGTTTTATTTTTTAATTTAATGTTTGGGTTTTTTTTGCCACAGTTGCTTCCCTGGCAGATCAGGGAAATGCTGTCAGCTACTCTGACCTAGATTTTAGCAAAGCATTTGACAAAACTCGTGCTATTCTTGTGGACATGATGAAGAAAGGTGCATAAGATAATGGTATCAAACAAATAGAAATGGGGCCACTAACCCATGCATAAAAACCCCTACAGGCCACATATTAACTTAGTTTTAAAATGTAATGTTATCTATGTTTTACTGTATTTTTATTTATTTAAATATTTCCCAACTATATTTTAATCTAGTTTGGAGAGCCCCAGGGATGCTTGCTTCTGCAGCAGGGCTAAGGGTGGGGGGCAGGGTGGAGAGTGGTCCCCAGGTATTTAATCCTCTGCTTACTAGCTGGTCTGATTAGGTGGATTTGGAACGTGTCCAATGAATGGACCCAAGGAATAGTCACCATTGGGTGAATGTAGAAGATTTCCAGTGGAGTCTCCCAATGAATGCAATGAAGGCTTTCATTCAATCCAATGCAATGTAATCTGCCCCTCCAGGAGTTTAGAGTCTATTGTCCTGGAACACTTGTGGTACCTCCTTTACAAGGTGGTTTTGAGATAAATGCTTTGTAAATCATTATAAGGGATACCAGTCAGCCACCCCCTCCTCCTTCTGAAATACACAGTTCTGTGTGCAGACAAGCATAGTCTAAACACAGCTCTTCCTCACTTTCTGTCCTACCACATCCACAGATGACACTCACTAGCTGTGTGACCCTGGGCAAGTCACTTAACCCCAACTGCCTCACCAAAAAAAAAAAAAAGCCAAGACCACTGGTGATGGCCTGGGATGCAGTGGATGACCTTGGTGTCTTAAATGTCTGACCAAGTGCTCCGCAGTGCCTGCTTCAGCCGCCTTCACAGCTGCTGGAACATCTTGTTCTCATTTGACCATTTGCCATGGAAAGTCTTTATGTGCTTGGGGTAGACACCTCCCTAACTCACCTGGTACCATCAACCTGGTTTGGCCCTTCCACCAGGACAGTTTTACCAGGACGGGGGGTGGTGACTGCTGCACACACTACAGCTTCTTGGTGCCACAGGTGAGGGCTGGGTGACAGGTGGACCCCAAAGATGGAGGAGCAGCACTGCCCCCCAGAGGGGCTAGTCCTCCTGAACACCCATATACCCCAAAAGAGCATTCGTTAGCTGGAGAGTGTACAGAGAAGAAGGCAGCTAGAATGGCGAAGGTCACAGAGATCACACCAAATGAGGATTCGAGGAAGGAATTGGGAATGTTTCGTCTAGAGAAGACCAGAGGGTGGGGGCAGGGAATGAGGCCTGACTTTCAGTACAGGAAGGGCTGTCCCACGGAGGAGGCATCACGCTTGCTCGTCTTGGCTCCAGAGGGCAGAACGAGGAGCAGCCGGTAGACTTCAGCTTGATGCAAGGGGAAAATTGCTTATAATTCGACTTGTTCAAAAGTGGACTGGATCACCCTGGGAGGTCGCTGGCTCCCTCCTACTGGAGGTGTGTGGGTGCAGGCTGGGTGATCACTTGTCAGGTAGGTTGGAGAGGGGATTCCCAGTCAGGTAAGGACTGCGCTGACTGGCCTCTGCAGTCCCTTGGGACCCTGAGATTTGGTGAGTCTGATTCCAAGGTCTCTAGCCAAATCCGATCATCAGCCGTTTCTTACCTCTGGGCACCCCTGCTGTTCTCTGTGAGCCATTGCTTTTCTGTCCCCTCAGAGGCAGGGGATTGAGAGAGAAGGAGAGAGATGGGGAGGGGGTGGTGAGTGACATGGGCAAATGAGACAGACAGAGGGAGAAGTGGAGGATTGAGGGAGGTGTGGGTTGTGAGAGCTAGAGAGTGACGAGAGAGATTGAGAAGGAGGGAGAGATGAGGGGTTTGGGGAAAAGAGAGACGGGTAAAATGAGGGCCTGAGAAAACAGGAGAGAAAGAGAGAGAGAATTTAAGCCCTGGTCACCTCTCACCTGGATTTTTGCAGTACACCTTTAACTGGCCTCTCTCTCTCTCTCTCTCTCTCTCTCTCTCTCTCTTCTCTCTCTCTCTCTCTCTCTCTCTCTCTCTCCTTGAGGCCGGGGGCATCTTTTGCCTTTTTTTGTATCCCTAGCACTTGGCACAGTGCCTGTCATACAGTAGGGTGTTTATTAAATGTTAATTGACTGACTGACTGACCTGCCAACCAGATTGTCTGTAGCACACATCCAATTGTCTCAGTCACCTGTTCAAAAACCCTCAGAGGCTCCCTGTTGCCTTGAAGAGAAAACACAGACCTCTCAGCCTGGCATATAAAGCCTGCCACAACCTGGCTTCAGCCTACCTTTCCAAACTGATGTCATATTGCTCTTCTTTGTGCATTCTGCATGCCAGCCAAACCTGGCACGCAGGTGTTCTCTGCACTGGGTGTTCCATCTCTCACCTCTGTGTATTCATATTAGCTTTTCCTCATTCCTGGGATATACTCAATTCATGTCAGCAAATGTTGAGCATGTAACTGCCTGCTGTGCGTCAGCATCATGCTAGAAGCTCAGCAGACCCTGACATCAGAGAGCTTACATTCTCCTGAGGGAGATCCAAAATATACACTGATATTTGCATACCAAGTAATGCACAGTAATTTCAGGAAGGTGAGAGTGCCAACAGTGGGGGATGGGGTCAGAAAAAGCCCCTTGGAGAAGGTAGCACCTGAGCTGGGCTTTGAGGGGAGCTAAGGATTCTAACAGCTGGAGGTGAGGAAGGAGGGCATTCCAGGCAGGGGCTACCACCTAAGCAAAGGCATTGAGGTGAGAGATGAAAGGTCATGTTCCAGCTGTAGCTAGCAGCCTAGTGTGACTGGAGAGAGAGGTGAAATAAGAAGTAAGACTGGAAAGATAGGTAGGAACCATAATGTAGGAGGCTCAAAATGCCTAGCTAAAGGGTTTCTATTTTGTCCTGGAGGCCATAGGAAGGCATTTAATATTTTTGAGAGGGTAGGTGACACAGTCCCATCTTCCTCTTTGCAATGTTGGTTTCGCAGCAATGGGGAGGATGGATTGAGAAGGGAGTGGAGACAGGGGCACTAATTAGGAGGTAATTGCAAGAATCTAGATGGAAAGTTACAAGGGACTGAAGGGAGCCAATTGTTAAATTTCAGTGTGGTATTTACACCTCGGATATTGGAGAAAGAAAGAAAGAGAAAGAAAGAAAGAAAGAAAGAAAGAAAGAAAGAAAGAAAGAAAGAAAGAAAGAAAGAAAGAAAGAAAGAAAGAAAGAAAGAAAGAAAGAGAAAAAGGAAACCTCTACAAGTTAGGGCTTGGTTTATGATTTTGTTGATTTTCTGGACTTAAGAAAGTAATGGAGGAAAAAGTTAATAATACATATTAGGCTGTCTGATGGACAGCCCCAGAGCTGATGGTTAAATATTTACCGGCACACTTCTGCTAAGAAGGAGCTGGATAGAAGAGTTGTTAACAAGACTTGGTGGCTGGCTAGATAAGAATAGGATGGAAAGTGAAGAGCTGCTGATGCCTCCAAATTGGGAACCCAACTCTAGTGCCTTCCACAGAAATCGGCAGGGTTGGAGATGTTGAGTTTGAGATGGCTACAGAACATCCAGGCTGAGATGTCCAGGAGACAGTTGGCGATGTGCGACTAGAGTTCTAAATCTGGAAGCCATTGGCATAGAAATGGTTATATCGGTGGGAATCAATGAGATCACCAAATGAGTTTATGGAGCCTTGAAGGATGCTCACACTTAGGGAGAGGATGATGAGGAGACGGAGAAAGCTCAGCCTGACAGGAATGAGAACCAGGAGAGAGCAATGTCATGGAAGCCAAGAAAAATGAGAGTGCCCAGGAGGAGAAGGATGGGTATCTGTACCCAGAGCTTCAGAAAGTCAGGCAGAATGAGGGCTAACAAAGGGCACTGTGTCAGGTAATGAAGACCATTTGTAACCCGCAAGGGAGCTTTTCCCACTGAATAGTGGGGATAGAAATCAGATTGCTTGGAACTGAGAAATGGGAAGTGAGGAAAGGAGTAGAGATGACCTTTTCTAGAGTTGAGCCGGGAAGAGAAAAGCTACAGGATGATAACTTGAGGGGCTGGCTGGGTTAAGGGAAGGCGTTTTATTTCTTTTTATTCTGAACTTAAACATTGAATAAAATCAATGAACATTTATCAAGCACCTACTACATGCCAGGCACTTGTGCTACGCTCTAGGAATACAATAAGAGGCAAAAGATAGTCTCTGCCCTCAAGGAACTCATATTCTAGTGGCGACAACAAACATATACTAACAAACCACACCCAGGATAAATAGGAAATAATTAACAAAGGGAAGGTTAAAAAATGAAAAGAGATTGGGGAAGCCTTCTGGTAGGAGACAGGGTTTTAACCGGGACTTAAAGGCAGTCAGAGAGGTCAGCAGGCAGGGCAGAGGAGGGAGAGCCTTCCAGGCATGGGGGATGGCCAGAGAGAGTGAGAATAAACAAGGTTGGAAGGATTGCCACGCAGTAGGGAGGACCCGGTTGACACTAGAGAATGTAACTTACTAGCGAATCTACACAGAATAATGGTGTGACTCCCCCAGGGTCAATCTGAGAGGTAACATCGTAGCATCCTAGAACTGGGAGCGCCATCTTGACACCAGCTATGTAACCTAAGGCGAGTTCCTGAGCCTCAGTTTCCTCATCTGATCATGAAGATGATGTGAATGATCATAGCACCTACCTCCCAGGGTTGCTTCCAGGCTCAAATGAGGTCATTTCTGTAAAGCACTTTGCAAAGCTTACAGTGATAAGGAAATGTAGGTTATTACTACTGCTCAATGACTCTAGGTCAGGGATCAAGCGAACAAGCTTTTATTAAGCACCTACAGTGTACCAGACCCTGGGAGCTCCAAAGACAAAAGTAAGGCAGTCCCTCCCCTGAAGAAGATTGCATTCTTTGCAAGGGACACAACATGCATGTACACAGGAAGAACATAAGCATTTATTAATAATGACAATAATAGCTAACATTTATATAGTACCTGGGGGCAGCTAAGTGGCACAGTGCACAGAGTACCAGGCCTGGAGCCAGGAAGACCCGAGTTCAAATCAGGCCTCAGACACTAGCTATGTGACCCTGGGCAAATCACGTCACCGCTTGCCTCAGTTTCCTCCTCTGTAAAATGAGCTAGAGAAGGAAATGGCAAACCACTCCAGTATCTCTGCTAAGAAAATCCCAAATGGGGTCAGGAAGAGTGGGAACGTGATTAAACAACTAAACAACAACATTACAGTGCCTACTGTGTGCCAAGCATTGTGCTAAGAACTTTATAATTACGTAATTTGATTATTATTACAAATAATTATAATAAATGCAGGGCACTTTTGGTGGGATGGAGGCACTAGCAGGTAGGGAGGGGGAAATCAGGAAAGGCTTTATGTAGGAGGGGGCGTTTGAGCAGAGTTTTGAAGGAAATGTGGATGGTTGGGGTAACCATAGATTGGGGGAGGGGAATTGGTAAGACATGAATGACCATGGCAAGGGGCAAAGGATCCATGAAGAGGCAATAATGGGTGGATGAAATGGTCAAGGGTTAAGATGGGGAAGTGATGGAAGATGCCCAGAGCAAGGGTGATGACCAGGGAGTACAAGGAGGGACTGAAGGGCTGAAGATCATAATGAGGATGGAGACTAGGTGGGAGGACTGAGGGAGGGGGAGAGAGAGAGAGAGAGAGAGAGAGAGAGAGAGAGAGAGAGAGAGAGAGAGAGAGAGAGAGGAGAGAGGAGGGAGAGGGAGAGGGAGACAGAGACAGAGACAGAGAGAAAGAGATAGAGGAGAGGGGGAGAGAAAGAGAGAGAGGAGAGAGAGGGAGAGAGAGGAGAGGGGGGAAGAGAGAGGGAGAGGGAGGGAGAGAGAGAGACAGAGGAGAGAGGGAGAGAGAGAGAGAGGAGAGAGAGGGAGAGAGAGAGAGGGAGAGAGAGAGACAGAGACAGAGACAGAGAGAAGGGGGGAGAGAAAGAGAGAGGGGAGAGAGAGAGGGAGAGAGACAGAGACAGAGAGAGAGACAGAGAGGAGAGAGGAGGGGGGGAGAGAGAGAGAGAGAGAGAGAGAGAGAGAGAGAGAGAGAGACAGAGACAGAGACAGAGAGACAGAGAGGAGAGAGGAGGGGGGAGAGAGGGGAAAGAGAGGGAGAGAGAGAAGAAAGAGAGAGAAAGAGGAGAGAGAGAGAGAGAGAGGGAGAGAGGGAGAGAGAGAGAGAGACAGAGAGAGAGAGAGAGGGAGAGGGGAGAGAGGAGGAGAGAAAGAGGAGAGAGGGAGAGGAGAGAGAGGGAGAGACAGAGACAGAGAGGAGGGGGAGAGAAGAGAGGGGGAGAGAGGGAGAGAGAGAGAGGGAGAGAGACAGAGACAGAGACAGAGAGGAGAGAGGAGGGGGGGAGAGAGAGGGAGAGAGGGAGAGAAAGAGGAGAGAGAGAAAGGAGAGAGAGAGGGAGAGAGGGGGGAGAGAGGAGATAGAGAAAGAGGAGAGAGAGGGAGAGAGAGACAGAGACAGAGACAGAGAGAGACAGAGAGGAGAGAGGAGAGGGAGAGAAAGAGAGAGAGAGAGAGAGAGAGAGAAGAGAGAGAGAGGAGAGAGAGAGAGAAAACAAGAAGAAGAAGAAGAAGAAGAAGAAGAAGAAGAAGAAGAAGAAGAAGAAGAAGAGAAGGAGGAGGAGGAGGAGACAGAGACAGACAGGCAGAAATGGAAGATGTGCTCAAAGAGAGGAATTCTGAGGTTCTACTAGATCGCACATAGCCTTGTTCAGCTTGGCCCCCAGGGGCAGAACTAGTGGCAATGGGTGGAGGTGCTGGAGGCCATTTTTGTCTTGATGCAGGGGGAAGAGTTCCCCGTAGCTGCAGCAATCCCAGTCACTCTGCTGCCCAGTTGGGGCCAAGCTTGGTCAGTAAAAGCTTCATGACACACAAGGTTAAGAACCCTGCATCTAGTCCAATCTCCTGATTTTATAGCAAAGGAAGCAAAGACCCAGGGATGGGAGATGACGCCCAGGGCCACACAATAGGTGGCAGAGCCAGGATTTCTCCGACAATTACAATCCTTTTTTAAAAAGATTTCGTGAGCCTGACAGAGCCCACTAGAGGAGCCCAAACACCGAGGGCCTTGGAGAGGAGGCTCCCCTAAGCGCAGGGAAAGTGACGCCTGGTGCCCACGGCCTCCTAACCTCTTAGAATCCTTTTCCTGTAATAATCAATTCCTGTGGAAAGGGGGAAGTCTTTTCTGCCTAAAGGCAAGCAGTAGGCACTAAACCACTTATTCCCTCCCTGCCTCTCACACCAAAACTTTCCCTAGGACCTGAGGGCCCTCTTAATCTGGCACATCCTTTACTCTCCCTCATCCTATTCTCCCATCCGTGCGCTTCATCCGGGGGTCTCCATTTTGGGGGCTGGCCTGGGCTGACCATGCCTCATTACCCTCTCAGGCCTATTTCTAATCCTTAGCGTTCCGCATCCCTCCTTGCCCCCTTTTCGGGTGCTTCTTGCATCGCGTTTCCCCTTTGAAGGGAATCTTCTTGAAGGTTAGGATTACAGGTCTGTTTTCGAATTTGTGTGGGCAGCTTCTTGCCTTGCTTTGCACGAGGCCCCTCCCAGCTCTGACATCCTCTGCCCCGAAGGCCCGCCCAGCTCTGTTTTCGGTCTGGGAGGCCTGGAGGGCTGGCAGTGGGGAGCGGTGGAGCTCATCTCCTATCGGGGTACAGCAGGAGCCAACGCCCTGATAGGCAAAGACAGCGCTCCTTTCCTGCAGCACAGCTCAGGCAGCGTCGGGGACCCACTGGGGACGATGTCTGGCCTGATTCTGCCTTCCACCCTTCTCTTCATCTCTGCCCTGAGCCCTGGTAGGTGTTTGAATGGGGAAAGGGGATTAGAGATTGGGGTGGGACTGAGATACAGACAAGGTTTGGGGGTGAGGCTGGCATGGGGAGGAGCCGGAGCAATATCCCTGGGGAAGCACGGGGTGCCCAGACAGGTCCAGACATGGGGCCTTTGGAGGGCAGGACTCATGGAACATCAAGATGGCCATCACTTTATAGAGGGAGGGATGGAGATGGAGAGAAGGTCCAAGGGCAAACGTCAAACCACAAAACTCAGAGCCCATCACCTCCATTTTAGGGATGAGGAAACTGAGGCAAGGCACTCACTTAGGCTTCCATGTCAAGTGAGTGACAGAGGCCTGGATCTCACATCGCCTGACACCAAGCTCAGGCCTCCTCCCCTTCTGCCTGGGTCTCCACTAAACCCTTCAGCAGGAACATGGAAAACAGCTTGAACTCTGGGGATAGTAAGAAATTGGGGCAGACAGCTGGTCCAAGCGGTCTGAGGAAGCCAGAGATAGCAGTGGAGCAGAGAGAAAGGTGTCCCTTAGACACATTAGGGACACATCTGCCCCTCTATTACCCATCTATATTTACCCTGGTTCAAATGAAGAAATGAAAGTACTCCCTCCCTCCCCATCCCCCCAATAGGTTTGGGGAAGGAGAATTGAGGGGAGGGGTTCCCCAACTTTTAAAATTACTTCTCTCACTCAGATACAGTAGAAAGTACCCCATGAAACCACCCAGGTGACTTGGGCATAGTAAGCACTTAATTAATGTTTATTGAGACCTTCCTCTCTCCACTGCTTTGTTCTTGTGACTTTGGGTAAAAACCTGGCCCTCTGGGCCCTCATTTCCCCCTCTTGGGAATCAGAGGGGGTTGGGCTGATAGCTGCAACAGGCCCTTCCTGCTCTGACATTATACAGGCCAGTGATTCAAAGTTTCATCTGACCTCTTCGGTCCTGTTCTCATCAGGATTGGTTAGATTAAAGTCTCAAATTCTGGCTCTAATTTTCTGTGATCCCAGCCAATGCTGGGATACCAAAAAAAAAAAAAAGTCAGAGCTGGTAAGGCCCTGAGAACATAGAATGTCAGATCTAGGAGGGCCCTTAGAACAGGGAATGTTAGGGCTGGGAGGGCCTTTAGAACAGGGAATGTTAGGGCTGGGAGGGCCCTTAGAACAGGGAATGTTAGGGCTGGGAGAGGCCTTAGAACAGAGACTAACAGAGTGGGGGATGGGGGCACTTTAGAACAGAGAATGTAAACCTGGGAGGGCCCTTACGACTGGCAATATCAGAGCTGGGAGGGCCCTTAGAACAGACTATAGAAAGTCAGAGCAGGGAAAGCTAGAGTTTAGACACTCGGAGATCATCCTGACGGGGTTCTTCCTTCACCCTGCCCCCACCCCTAGGCTCCCAGACCTGGGGCCTGCATGTGACCTCTGGCCCACCTTCAGTGACTGCGCCCGTGGGGGGTACGGCCCACCTGCCCTGCGAACACGACGGGGGCACCAATGCCAACGTGACTTGGTGGCGTGTCATCATGGGCAACTTCACATGGCCCAAGGTCCAGGTGGAGAAGCCCACTCAGCCCAACGGGACTCTGGTCTTCCGGGAAGTGAACAAGAGTGATGCAGGCATGTATCTATGTCAGGTCTCTGTCCCAAGGGAACCGGTCTTGGAGTCCTGCGGCACCTACCTCAGGGTTCGAGGTGAGTTAGTTCCTTCTCAGACCTGATCGCTATGTCTTTCAGTGCACCTCCCCAACCCCACTTTAGGGGCTCAGGGGTCCTAGACCCCCAGCACCAAAGCGACCTGTGGAGTCCAGTCTCCCTGGGAAACCACAAGGTTTGAGGAATTAATTAGTAGAAAGTGATTTGCAAGCCCCAAAGCTCTCTATAAAAGTCAGTAATTATTATTTTAATTGTCACGATTGTCCTCTCCCCCATCCTTTTTTCCCATGGACATAGTTCTCCTAATTCCTCAGCCCTGTTCTCTCTTAGACCCAGGAGTCTGGGGATGTGGAACCCCCAAGGAGGGCAAGGAGATGGCAAAGGGCATCAGATTTCCTTGCAGATAGAGGGTCCAGAGGAGGTCTGACTTAAAGTTCCGGCTTTGCCCCTGACCCCTCTTGGGGACCCTCAGCTTCTCTTTCTGTAAAATGGGGCCAATGACATCTGTCCATCTGAGTAATCACATGGCTCTTCACAATTCTTTCCTCACAATCACCCACTAGATGATACAAATGGATGTCCCCAAGACTTGGGAGTCTGAGAATGCCCCTTTGAACCCTGAATCTCCTACTTACTTCCCATGTGACCTTGGGTAGGTCACCTTAATTCTTTGGGCCTCTCAGTTTCCTCATCTGTAATACAGAGGAGTGGGAGACTCCATGATCTCATGGGTCTTTTAGCTCTGAATTTGTGATCTTGAGTACTGAGACTACCATTATCCCCATTTGACAGGTAAGGAAACAGGCCTAGAGAAGGGAAGGCACTTGCCTAGGGTCACGTAGATCATGATAAAGAGGCAGTTTTCTTGGCAAAGATCCTGGAGTGGTTTGCCGTTTCCTTCTCCAGCTCATTTTACAGATGAGGAAACTGAGGCAAACAGGATGAAGTGACTTGTCCAGGGTCACCCAGCTAGTCAGTGTCTGAGGGACAGATTTGAACTCAGGAAGATGAGTGTTCCTGACTCCAGCCTAGCGTTGTATCTACTACACCACCTGATAGGAGACAGAGCCAGGACCGAGGCTGGGCCTCTCTGCTATATTTTTTTCCCACTGCTGTGAAAAATACAATGTGCAAACCCTAAAGGGTTGGGGGGAGCTGGTGTCAATCTGACCCCTTAGCTCCATGCTCCATCCTTGCCTGCTGGCTATTGCCTTGGAAGACATAAGCAGCTCGGAGCTGGACTCAGCCTGGCTGGGCTGGCAGGGCTGATGTCTCATTGATCTCTCCTTTCCTCCCTCCCCACCATCCTCCCTCTCCTAGAGCCAATACCCAGACCCTTCTTGGACATGGGAGAAGGCACGAAGAACAGAATCATCACTGCAGAGGGAATCATCCTGCTTTTCTGTGCTGTCGTCCCTGGCACACTTCTGCTCTTCAGGGTGAGGCTCCTCTGGGGACCTGAGCCTTGATCCCCAAGCCCTCATTTCCCCAGGGGCCTAAGCCCTCCTGATCCCCTAGGCTCCCCTGCCTTCCCCTTGGGCATCCAGGTTTCTCACCACTACTTCTTTCCCCATGGGCCTTCAGTTCTGCTCTGGTGCACCTGATTCCCCCCTGCCCAAGCTTCTTTGGGCCCACTGTCTGATTGTCCATTTCTGGCAGTTAGGAAGGTCTCCTTGAATCTAGTTAGCAGAGATGAATGGGAAAGGAGAAAGGGGACAGGCCACTTCAGGATAGGAAGTGTGTGTGGATGTCAGTCAGGGGGTGCTTCCTGGAGGCAGAGTGTATGGGGAAGCAGCTGGCATCTTCTGGAGACAGAATTGGATTTTCAGGTAGCGGCCTGGATTTGGATCCCAGCTCTGATCTTTGCCTTTGGGCACAGTACCTCTCCTGGCCTTGACTTCTCCTTCTGTTAAAGGAGAGGCCTAGGTGAGCTGAATCCCATGGTCTCTTCCAGCTTTTAAATCCCACAGCCCCATAACCGTGGGGCTCTGGTTGATTACTTCCCACTCCTCACTTCTCTAGATGATTTCTCCCCACTTCTCTGGCCGATTTCTCCCCACTTCTCTGGCTGATTTCTCCCCACTTCGGCTGATTTCTCCCCACTTCTCTGGCTGATTTCTCCCCACTCCTCACTTCTCTGGCTGATTTCTCCCCACTTCTCCAGCTGATTTCTCCCCACTTCTCTGGCTGATTTCTCCCCACTCCCCACTTCTCTGGCTGATTTCTCCCCACTCCCACATTTTTCTCGATTTTAGAAGCGTTGGCAGAATGAGAGGTATGCTGAGGATCACCTGGACTATTATGATGACGAGAACCTTTATGAGGTGAGGCCCCTTAGGGATGGAGAGACTAGGGACAGAGGTGGGATTAGACTCTCTCCCTTGACCCAAGATGGAGGGAGGGCCCTAGGAGACATGTCCCACCCCTCTCCCCCAAGGCTGACCTCCAGCTTCCTTCTTCCTCTAGGGCCTTAACCTCGACGACTGTGCCATGTATGAGGACATCTCCAGGGGCCTGCAGGGGACCTACCAAGATGCCACCACCCTCAGGGTGGGAGACGTCCAGCTGGAGAAGCCATGAGGGCCCTGCCCAAAGCCCCAACCCCCCCTCCCCCAACTGCCCCCTTCAGGTTTTTCTGACTTTGTCCCACTCTCAGTTTCCTCAGAAGTGGCTTTGACTAGATGGTATAAAAGGTCCCCCCCAGCCCTGACGTTTCTTATTCTAAGTCTCCCCTAGCTGCTCTGACATTCCCTGTTCTGTTTCCTAAGTCTCTGATACCTGTTCCCCTCTCCCATGATACACCCCTTTCTCTGTCCCACTCATGCCTTAACTCCTGACCCCTTGTAACTTACTCCCCAGTAATTCAGGAGATGCCTGAAGCAGGATCTCTGGAAGGCCCCCTTCCCCCAAGCTTTGTCATACCTACTAAGATAATAAATCTGTGGCCCACTGGGAAGGAAGGCTCCATTCCCAGCGGGAGACGGACTGATGGCCTGCACGTAAAACACCTTGCCATGGGAATCCAGGGGTCATGAAGCCCAACTGTACCTCCCTCCCCTTAGAGATCTGAGCATCCTCATCCCCTAGCCCTAGATGTCCTCACTGTCTAGCCCCTCCTCGCCCAGCACCCCAGGTGTCTGATCGCCACGTCTGCCTCCTCTCCCAGGACCTGAGTCCCCAGTTCTTTGGAAATCCACCCAGCTGGGCAGGTCTCGGGTGTCCTCCCTAGCTGTAGCTAAATCTCCCCAAGCTGGGAAGTAAACAAGCCCCATCCCCCTTCCCCTCTCTCAGCACCTGCTGCTCTACCCCTCCCTTGGGGGTGGGGGTGGGGGTGGGGAAGAAACAGGAAGTACATATGGGAGGGAGCAGAAGAGAGGTGCTCAGAGATTGAATGGGGATGGATCTCTGCCCTACTCAGGGACTCAGGCATCCTGATTCCCTTCAAGCATGCTTAAGCATCTCCTGTCCCACCCCATCCCTTATTTCTCTCCTAAGACCACGATGCTCGTCTCTCTGGTACCATCTCCTGTCTAGCTCTCAGTTTCCACTTCCTGTAAAATGAAGAATTTGGACTAGGGGGCTCCTAAGGGTCCTCAGGGTTGAGGGCCAACCTCCTTGGTCCTGTCAGCTCCAGGGGAGAGAGGAGGGCAATGCCTTCCCAGGTGCAGCCCAAAGATAAGTTCTCAGGTGATGAAAGATGATGAAAGAAGAAGGCGGCTCAGAAGGAGAGGCTCCACATTCCGGAAGTTCATCTATAGGGGGTGGGGGTATACCATGTGGATCCCCAGATGACCTCTTCCCTCACCTAGGCCAGAAGAACAGGCTTCTGTGACCAGGGCCCTGGGCAAGCTGATCCCATATTTCCCTCGGCTATGAGGGATGGGGGTTAGGGATCGCTGGCCTAGGGCATTCTCTTTACCAAGGCATTCGGATACCTTCTCTGTAATGTAGGGGGGCACTATGTCTCTGTTCAAGGTCACACAGTCAGAATGTGTCAGAAAGAGGACATGAATCCAGGTTCTCCTGGCTTGGAGGGGACCTTTCCAGCCACGGTGCTTGGGTGAGAAAGAGATGAGCCCCAGGATGGGGAACTCAATTATCTGGAGGGATGGGGAGGGATGGAAGGAGGGGTGAGACCTGGCATGGGGAATGAGAGAAAGCGACAGAGACCAAAAGACAGAGAAAGAACAGACAAGACAGAAAGCAAGCTACCCAGAGACCACAGAGAAATACAGACACACAGGGAAACAGAGGCTGAGGCGAACAGGAAGCGAGATAGATCCCAAGCTCAGGGGCGTCCTGGACTCTTGCCTCTCCCTCTCCTCAGCCGCCAACTGTCAAGCTTGCAACCTCTCTCCCTCCACCAGACCCTCGCGGTTTAGCTCAGGGCCTTGTTGCCTCTTGCACATACTATTTTAATTGTCTTTGAATTGTGCTCTCCGCCTCTGTCTCACCAATGCATCCTTTGCATAGCTGCCAATTATAATCCAAGGTGAGTGTGTGACTGTATCAACTGCCTAGCTCAAGGGACTTTGGGCTCCCCTTACCTCTAGGATACAATACGCACTCTGTTGAGAAGTTGAAAGCTTTTCACGAACTGGCTGCACCCTCCCTTTTCACACTTTTCCCCCTACATTTCTCCCTTCCACATATTCTACCTTTCCATCAAACAGGCCCTACCCACTCTTCTTATCACCCACATAAGCACATTTATATACGTGAGCCCGAATACCTGTCATGCCCTCTCTCTGCCCCTGGGCCTCTCAGAAGCCTTTTCTTCTCTCAAAACTCTCAAGAGGAGGGTGCCACTTCCTCTGTGAAGCCTTCCTGAACTTCTCCCTACCAAGTGATTTCACCCCCCTCAAATGCATTTTAGAGCATTTTATGTCTTCAGGCGTACTATTATTATTTGTGGGCAAATAATGTCTTCCTTCCCCTTCCTTCCTTCCTTCCTTCCTTCCTTCCTTCCTTCCTTCCTTCCTTCCTTCCTTCCTTCCTTCCTTCCTTCTTCCTTTCTCTCTTCCTTCCTTTCTTTCCTTTCTTCCTTCTTTCTTTCCTTTCTTCTTTCTTCTTCTTCTTTCTTTCTTTCTTTCTTTCTTTCTTTCTTTCTTTCTTTCTTTCTTCCTTTCTTTCTTTTTTTTTCTTTTTTTCTTTCCTCCTCCCTCCCTTCCTCCCTCCCTCCCTTCCTCCCTCCCTCCCTTCCTTCCTTCCTTCCTTCCTTCCTTCCTTCCTTCCTTCCTTCCTTCCTTCCCTCAGGAATCCAGCATAGGGCCTTGTATATAGTAGGAGTTTAATAAATGTTTGCTGAGCTCATATTCCTTAAGAACCTAGCCAATAGCTCACAGTGTTCAGATTCTTTAAGAGGCTGGCCACTACGGTGGATCTTTAATAAACCTTGTCTTTGGCTGGAAAAAAAAAAGTTTGCTGAGGGAGCAGCTAGGTAGTGCTGCAGATAGAACACTGGTCCTGGAGTCAGGAGGACCTGAGCTCAAATCTGGCCTCAGACACTTGACATTTACTAGCTGTGTGACTCTGGGCAAGTCACTTAACCCCACTGCCTAGCCAAAAAGGCAAACAAAAAAAGTTTTCTGAATTAAAATTAATTAGATAGAGACAAAGACAGAGACACAGAGGCAGAGAGATAGAGAGGAAAAAAGACAAGACAGAAAGGAAGAGACTCAGAGGGAGAGAATGAAAGCGTTGGGGGAGAGACAGGAAGACAAGAGAAAGAGAAACAAAGATGAGAGACACGAAAGAGAGAAAGGGAGAGAGAAGCAGATGAAGAGGGAGACAGGCAGATAGAGAGAGAAAAACAGTGAGAGAGACATACATAGAGAGAGAAGAGGGATGACGGAAAGAAAGAGATTTGTTTTTTTTCAGTTGTATCTGACTCTTAGTGACCCAATTTGGGGTTTTCTTGGCAGAGATACTGGAATGGTTTGCCATTTCCTTCCTCAGCTCATTTTATAGCTGAGGAAACTGAGGCAAACAGGGTGAAGTGACTTACCCAGGGTCACACAGGTCATAAGTGTCTAAGGCCAGATTTGAACTCACGAAGCTGAGTCTTCCTGACTTCAGGCCAGGCATTCTGTGTATTGCGGCGCCCCCTAGCTGCCCACAGAAAGAGGGGGAGAGAGAGAGAGAGAGAGAGAGAGAGAGAGAGAGAGAGAGACAGAGAGAGACAGAGAGAGACAGAGAGAGAGAGAGACAGAGAGAGAGACAGAGAGAGAGAGAGAGAGAGAGAGAGAGAGACAGAGAGACAGAGATGAGAAAGACAAATACACAAATAGAGAGATGAAAGGACACAGCAAGAGAGATGAGAGAAGGGCACAGACAGAGAGAGATGAGGGGGTCAGAGAGAAAGGAAGAGACAGGCAGGCAGAAGACAGACAGACAAGAGAGCTATCAGAAAGCGTGATGAGACAAAAACAGGCATAGAGGCAAACAGGCAGAGACAGGCAGACAGAGCAGGAGGGAGATAGAGAAGCAGAAAAGGTAGACAGGCAGACGGACAGGGAGAGAGACAGACACAGGTGAAGGAGCACCAAAGTACAGTCAGCCAGCCAGCCCACAGCAGAGCCAGAGGAAGGGAGGGGCTTGGGGTGGCAGATGCATGCTGGGCAGATTTGAGCTCCACAGTGACTGAGGAGCAGAGGGACAAATCCAAGGAGGCCTCCTGGTCGAGACAGTGACCAGAGACCAGGAAAAGGGGAGGGAAGAAGAGAGACAGAAAGAGAGCGTCAAAGAAATGGTGATATGGAGGAAGAGAAGAAGGGGCCACCATGCACCTCTGGCTGGGCTGAGCCTCCCAGGGAGGAGGAGCTCAGAGGCACTGGCAGAGAAGGGGAAGGAAGCAGAGGGGAGGAGGTGGGTGTGGGGTGTGGGGGGACCCCTCCCAGTCAGGGCAGGAAGCAGGGAGGGGCAGGAGGGCCAGGGCCTCCGGAAAGCCGGCCCAGCGCCGCTTCCTGCCCTGCCGGAGCCAGAAAACCCAAGCTGGGACCCAGGGCCCGGGATCCCCAAATCCCCGTACCCCCAAGACCTTTGGGGCTCTCCCCGGCCTAACCCCAGGTACATCTTCTCCCACCTCCTTCCTTTCCTTAGCACCCATTGGGCTATACTTCCTGAGTCCCCCCTGTTTTCCTTTGATTGCAGAAGATTATCACCTGGGAAAGAGGGGTGGCTAAGGGCAGAAGGACCACCAGGCAGGGGGAACTTGAGGGAGAGGACCAGACAGGAAAAGAAGAAGGGGTGGCTAAGGGGAGGACAGACAACGAGGGATGAAGGGAGAACCAGCTAGGAGGAGGAGGAGGGGTGGCTAAAAGGACGTCAAACAGGAAGGGATAAAGGGAGAGGCATCAGATGGGAGGAGGAGCTGGGGTCCCTAAGGGGAGGATTACTAGGCAGGGGGAGCTGAGGTGAGAAGAACCAGAAAAGGGAGGAAGGCGAAAGGGGGTGGCTAATGGGAGGCCAGGTAGGAAGGGATGAAGGGAGGACCAGACAGGAAGGGATGAAGACAGGACCACACAGGAGGAGGGGGAGGAGGGGTGGCTAAAGGGAGGCCAGACAGAAAGGGATGAAGGGAGAGGCACCAGACAGGAGGAGGAGGAGGTGGGGTCCCTAAGGGGAGGATTACTAGGCAGGGGGAGCTGAGGTGAGAAGAACCATAAAAGGGAGGAAGGCGAAAGGGGGTGGCTAATGGGAGGCCAGGTAGGAAGGGATGAAGAGAGGACCAGACAGGAAGGGATGAAGGCAGGACCACACAGGAGGAGGGGGAGGAGGGGTGGCTAAAGGGAGGCCAGACAGAAAGGGATGAAGGGAGAGGCACCAGACAGGAGGAGGAGGAGGTGGGGTCCCTAAGGGGAGGACTGCTAGGCAGGGGGAGCTGAGGTGAGAAGAACCATAAAAGGGAGGAAGGCGAAAGGGGGTGGCTAATGGGAGGCCAGGTAGGAAGGGATGAAGAGAGGACCAGACAGGAAGGGATGAAGGCAGGACCACACAGGAGGAGGGGGAGGAGGGGTGTCTAAAGGGAGGCCAGACAGAAAGGGATGAAGGGAGAGGCACCAGACAGGAGGAGGAGGAGGTGGGGTCCCTAAGGGGAGGACTGCTAGGCAGGGGGAGCTGAGGTGAGAAGAACCAGAAAAGGGAGGAAAGGAAGGGGGTAACTAATGGGAGGCCAGGTAGGAAGGGATGAAGGGAGGAAGGGAGGATCAGATAGGAAGGGAGGATCACATAGGAGGAGGAAGAGGAGGAGGGGTAGCTAAGGGGAGGCTGGACAGGAAGGGATGAAGGGAGGACCAGGTAGGAGGAGGAGGGATGCCCAAGGGCAGGACCACCAGGCAGGGGCAGCTGCGGGGGAAGGACATAGCTCATGGTGGGAGGCCAGCCTGGCAGGGACTGAAGGACAAAGGCCCAGGTGGGAGCGGGAGGTGAGGTGGTGAGGTGATGGCAGAAAGTTCTGGCCCCGGGAGCCAATGGAGAAGAAAGGTGGTGGTGCTGCAGGGAAGTTCGCCTCCTGCTCGGGAGAGGGTCCCTGGACCACGAGGTGGCCTGGATGGAGCCCCAAGGGCTGGGCAGGGCCGGGCGGGGCGGGCTGGACAACACGCGAGGCCCTGGCGGGAGGGGGTGGGGGGAGGGGCTTTTGCAGGACAGAGCAGTAGAAAGCACGGAAGCGGCGGGTCCTCCAGGCTGGCACGAGAGGCCTCATGTGTGCCCCGGGAGCAGTCGAGTGGTGGCGGCCTAGAGCGGCCCCAGGTGGTAGCGTGGGGAGCAGTGGAGTTGGGGCTGCGGCGCGGACCGTGGGCGGGCTAGAGAGGTCCGGGCCGGGCCTCCGGGAGCAGTGAAGCTGCAGAGGAAAGGCTCCAGGGTGCGGCTAGAGCGGCTCCGCCGAGGGAGGGGGAGGCGGCTGGGGCGCCCGGGAGCCGGACAGACAGGACGAGGCTGCCGAGCAGGTGAGGGTGCCCCCCCCCAGCCCCGCCCTTTAGGCACTGGGATCTTATACCCACCCATCCCCCACCCCTACCCTGTAGACACCCCCACAACACAGCTCCCTGGACCCTGCAGACACTGCCCCACCCTGCACAGACCCTGGACCCCATAGACACCCCGACCACGTAGGCTCCATGGACCCTGTAGACACGCCCCACCCTGTCCAATCCCTGGACCCTACAGACTCTCCCCGCCCCAATATAATGCATGTAGACCCCTGGACCCTGTAGATACTCCTGGACCTTGCAGACACGCCCCACACTGCACAGTCCTTAGACCCTCTTCACACCCCCTGGACCATATAGACACCCCTACCACACAGACTCCGTGGACCCTCTAAGCAAGTCTTAACCTATACTGTCCCTAAACCCAGTAGACACCCACTTTGGATAATACATGTAGATTCCTGGATCCTATAGATGCCCCCACCATGTAATTTCCTGGACACATCCCTCCATGTCATTTATGTAGAAACCAAGACAATATAGACTCCCTGAAATTTGTAGACACCCTAATTTATATAATCCGTGCAGACCCTATAGACCACCTACCCTCCTCCCCACCCCACCATGCTGCATCCTACAGCATCCCTGGACCATGGAGACATGTACAATTCCTGCCAAAGATGCCTACCCCATATAGACTTCCTGGACCTTGTGGACATCCCCACCCTACATGATGGAAGACCATAGATTCCTCCCCTTCCCCAGCATCCCTGGACTCCCATCCTGTGTATTTCATGTAGACCATCAGACTTTGTAGAATTCCTACCCTATATAATCTATGTAGCCCACAGACCCTATAGATGTCCCCACCCTATAGAACTTCTGGACCTTGTAGACACCCTTACCCTATGTATTTGGGTAGCTAGGTGGCCCAGTGGATAGGGCACTGGCCTTGGAGTCTGGAAGATCTGAGTTCAGATCTGGCCACAGACACTTACTGGTTGTGTGACCTTGGGCAAGTCCCTTAACCTCTGTCTACCTTAGTTTCCTCCTCTGTAAAATGAAGATAATAATAGCACTTTCTTTCCATGGTGGTTATGAAGATTGAATGAGATAATAATTGTAAAGCATTTGGGACAGTACCTGGTACTATATAAATGTTAGCTATCATTATTACTATTACTACTGCTACTAATATTACTACTGCTACTACTACTATTGTATTACACACACACACTATTGACCTTTCCCCATTCTATAGCATCCCTGGTCCCTATAGATACTGTCCTACACTGCAGAGACCCTCCCCATGTTTTCTAAAGTCCCACTAGGCTGTATAATCCATGTAGCCCCGCTCCAGTCCCATGGATACCCCCACCATATAGATTCCTTTGACCTTGTGGATACCCAACCTGTATATTCCATATAGACCTCCCTCAGCCTCTGGCACCCCTGGATCCTGTAGAATCCCTGGACCATATAGTCTTCCTCATCCTATAAATTCCTCAGCCCTATAGACTCTCCCTGGTCCCATTAGATTAGACTCCTCCAGGCCTCATAGGCTTTGTCTTCTGTTGATTCTCTGAAGTCCATAGTTTTGCAGGATCCTAATAGGCTCTCTTATGCCCCCTGGATTCCCCGAACCCTACAGATTTCCCCCTTTTTAAACCTTGATGACCAGAGAAGTTTCAGGACAACCTGCCCCTGCCTTTTCCACCCTTTATGCCCCTCAGTCCCTATAGACCCCAAATCCCCAGGAACCCCCGCCAACCCAAGTAATCTTGACCCCTGTAGATTGCCCACTCTGGCACCTTTCTGTCCCTAGGGAGAGTCACACAATTTCTGAGTTCATAAGAATATCACCAAAAGTTATTCTGTGGGGGGCCCCTGCCCTAGAAACCTCTCTGTCCACAGAAATCTTCAGCCTAGTGACAGGCCTCCATTATAATCTTCATGGAACTCCCTCTGCTGTTTTTGTCCTCTGAAAGATAAATGTTCTTTAAGTGAGTTCTGTAGGATGAGACAAAGTCTACCCAGAGTCAGTGCCCTTGAGGACCTTCCGGCCTTCTTGGGGAGGGTCTTGGAGGTGCACACTGGAGGGTGGAGGGCAGGGGGAGCAGGGAAGGCTTCCCCAGGAGGTGGTACCTGGAGGTGCCTCATTTGGAAGAAGATAAGGATTCTGACGGGAAGGTGAGGGAGGCTTAAGTAAAAGAGCGCAGTTGGGTGATGGAATGTCGAGTTCTCAGAACAGCCAAGTGGACCAGATTGTCTGGAATGTAGAGTGTGTGAAGGGGAGGGGAAGGGAGGGAGACAAGGCTCCAGAGAGGTGGGCTCAGAGCCAGGCTGTGCACGGCAGCCCGCCAGGGTTTCTGAGAAGGACCAAGAAATTCAGGCTGTGGGTACTGGGGAGCCATCAAAGGGTCTTGAGCAGGTGCTGAGCCTCAGAAGAATGGCTTGATTGGTTGAAAGATTCTGAGGCTGGTGATGGGAAGGATGATGGTGCTCTCTGCAAAAGTCTGGAGGAGGAGCAAGAGCCCCATTCGGGGCCCTGTTGTCAGTGGCCGTGGGTCCTTCTGCTAGGGGCAGCTGGTGATGTGTGATTGGCACTCAGGCTAGATGTGTGGTTGGGAGAGGCCTAAAGGTGAGCATGGAGCCCTAGGTGCTGGTGAGGTCACCCAGTCAGAGCAGGTAGAAAGCAGAGAGAAAGGACAGAGCCTCAGGGGACACCCGCAGTGGACCACAGGCCAGCAGGAGGCCGGCAGAGCAGACAGACAGGCAGGGAGAAAGTTAGGCAGGGCAGGTGGACGGATCCAGGAGAGGGGGGCGGTCCACCCTGGCCAAAGCTTCACTGGCGATTGAGCAGGCGAGATTCTCGGTAACTCTAAAGAGAGCACTTTCAGCCGAGAGATGGCACCCTCCACGCCCGTTATCGGCTTCTGTGCCAGTAGACCCCCACCCCCGATTGCTCAGAAACAGCCCCTTCTGGAGGCCTTAGTAGAAGATGCTCTTAGGATGACGTAGTGTCTCCAGGGAGAATCCTATCTGGTGCTCACTCCCCTGTAGGGACTTCTCCCACAGACCCCCAACTCTGGCCCCTAGAGAGCCCCTCTGTAGGGCTGCTAGTGGTTCTTAGCCTGGGTCCTGGGAACTTGGTTTTTAATACTTTGATAACTGGTCTCTAGACATCTGCAGACTGCCTGCTCCAGGGGTCTGGGACACACAGAAAGGTAGAGGGTGCCTGTTTTATATAGGATTCTTTAATATTCCATCTCTTAAACCCTCCAGATAAAAGATGGCAGCCAGTCAATGTTGTGGCTGCCTGTGAGGATGGGTGCCTTATAGAACCAGCTCTCTGACTGGTGTGACTCTCCCTGTTCTCTAGGCTGCTTCCCATGGACCCCCTGTTCCCTCTACGAAGCATCCCTCTTTCTAGTGAGCCTCTGCTCACTGTAGAGCTCTGGTTCCCTGTCCGGCATTCCCCCCCCCCCAGCCCCGAGCGTAGCCTCCGCTCCTGCACAAACCTCCTCAGGCTCCCCAAGGCCTCCCCAGCCCCTGGGCCTGTAAAGCCCCTATTCCCTGCACACTAAGTAAGGGTCGGAGGGATCTTCAGAATTGTCTAGCCTCACTCCTCTTCTACAGATGAGGAAACTGAGGTCAGAGAGGGTAAGCGGCTTGCCTCCGTTACGAAGGTGGCAGAGGCTGCCTCCAGGATTTGGGTCTCTGCCCCCAAAGCTCCCCCACTCTCTGCTGTACCATGCTGCCCCCCAGGGCCCCATCCTCTTTGGAGCCCTCTCAGAGCCCTCTTTTGGAGTTCCCAAAGAGCCACCTAGCCCCGATTGAACTTGCTGGCCTCCTACAGGTCCCCTGTCTGCATAGACTTGCCAGACCCCTCCCACCCTTCCTTCATAGCTTAGGGAACCCCTTTTCCTTTGGGGTCTCTGTACTGGGAGGAGGTGGGCTTACTGGGTGATCAGGCCTGGGAGCTGTGGGAGAGGCTTAGGCAAGACTGGATGGGGGATAGGAGGAGAAGGTGTTGGCTTGCGAGCTGAGAGTACGGGGTCTGGATAGGGGGAGAAGACCTCGGTTTGGCCTGGGGGGGCCACTGGATAGGAGGGGGGAAGGCCGAGTTTGGGGGCTGTGGTGGTGAAAGGAGAAGGCCCAGCTATGGGGATGGGGGGTGTGGGAGGGAGAAGGCTGAGGCCCCCCTCCCCCCCCAGCAGGCGGGATGAGGGGTTGGGTGGAACCGGGGCAGAGCCTGGGCGATGCCAGCTGTTAAAAATAGCTGCTGGGTCAGCAGTCCAAGGCCGCTCCTCCTCCTCCCCTTCCCTGGGGATGCGGGGCCTCCCCACCCCTTCTCCCGCCCTCCCCTCCTCTGGGCTCTGCCCCCCTGACACACACACACATAGGGACCACTTGTCTGTGATTAATGTTCCGATTAGACAGACTAATTAACACCACGAGGGAGGAGAGACAGAGACAGAGAGACTTGGGAGTATGTGGGGGGGGTTGTGGGGCTCAGTGTGGTGGAGACAGAGACAGGCAGGCAGAGTCAGCCTGGGTGGGATGGAGAGGAGGAGAGAGAGAGAGGTATGGGGAGACCCCACCTTCAGCCCCACAGCCAGCTGCTGGGGTCCAGAAACCTGAGCCCTTGGGTGGGGGAGCCAGGAGCCTGATGGGAATGGGGGCTGGGAGCCCACACTCCTAGGCCCCTGAGGGGTTGGGTGATCACAGGCGTGGACGCCTGGGTTCCCTATGGGGCGGGGGCCCATGGCTTTGGGGGCCCATGTGACTTCCTGTTTCAGGAAGTGGGGCTGGTGGGTGAAGAAGGCGACATCCGGCCCCCAGCCCTGTTCTGATCAGGTCAGGGCCCCCTCATCCCCCCAGAATGTTGTCCCACCTCTCCTCTGTCCCCCATCCCAGCTCCTCTCAGGGACCCAGGTGTCCAGGCTTCTCATCCCCATGCCCTTGGGGGCCCAGGCATCCTGGCTCACCCCGCCCCTAGCTTGGCCAAGGCCCCGGGCTTCTGAAGGGCTCTTTGTGGGCCGGACAGAGGCTCCATTGAGTTATGGGTGGATGAGGGGAGGCTCTGTTTACTCACCTCCCCACCTGGGCCAGGAATGTGTGAGTAACCCAGGCGTCCGGGCCTCCTATCTCGGGCCCAGGGTCTCATTGTGGCCGGGATTCTCCCCACAGCCTCAGCTTGGCATGGATATGGAAGATGCAGTGCGAGGGGTAAGTGTGCTGATGGGGAGAGGGCGGGGGGTCGGGACCCTCCAAGAGGGGCACCCCAGATCACCCAGCCTCCTTCCCCGCTGTCTTGTTCCAGGCCCCTGGCCCGACCCGGCCAGCTCCGGTCAGCATCATTGGTGCCGAAGATGAGGACTTTGAGAATGAGCTGGAGACGGTGAGCTGGCACACCAGGACCCCCTCCCCCATCACAACACAGCCTCTTGTCTCCTCCTCCCCTCCCTGCCATGTGTATCCCAGTGTCCCATAACTGAATGTCAGGGCTGGGAGGGCCCTTAGAACATGGAATATGAGAGCTGGGAGGGCCCTTAGAGTAGAAAACATGAGAGCTGGGAGGGCCCTAGAACAGGGAAAGTCAGGGCTGGGAGGGGACCTAGAACATGGAATGTCAGAGTTGGAAAGGTCTGAGCTGGCCGTGTTCTAGATGGGGAACCTAAGGGCTAAGGAGGGCTCTTGCACTCTCTTCCTCCTCCCTCCAGGAACTGGGGGAAACTGTCCCTGGTTCTCTGGAGAAGAACCAGAATGTGAGTTGCGTCCAACCTTCTCATTTGACAGCTGGGGAAGTCTAGGGCCAGTGAGGGGCAGGGACTTGCTGAGACCGCCTAGCATCAGGGACAGAGCTGGGGTTCAGGCTCAGGGCTCTTTGGACTCCACCCCTGGTGTCTGGGCTGACGGCCTCTGTTCTTCCATAACTCCCTTCCCTAGCACCCAGAGGAGCGGAGCAGCGAGTTCCAGAGCCTGGAGCAGGTGAAGCGCCGCCCCGCCCACGTCATGGCCCTCCTGCACCACGTGGCTCTGCAGTTCGATCCGGGACCCCTGGTGAGGCCTGGGCTTGGTTCACAGCAGTTTGGGAACGCCTAGGTGGCCTCAGAACCAGAGTGCAGAGCCTGGGGGGTAGGGTCTAGAGTAGGGTGCACAGCCTAGGAGGGGATCTAAAAGGCAGAGACCTCATAGGCCAGGAGGAATCTAGAATCAGAGGATGCCTTGCTGGAGAGATCTAGAACCAGGCCTGGAGCAGCCGGGGGGGTGTGTGTGTGTGTGTCTAGAACCAGACTGCATGAACTGTGGTCGTCTACCACCTGGATGGTGGCCTGTGACATCCAGAACCTGTGTTGCTATCTGGAGTGTAGAACCTGGCTTTGGCATGGGAATAGGGAGTCTTAACTTGGAGCCTGTGAAATTTTTTTAAAAATCTACCTCTCCCCTCCCCATATATCCATAGAACTTTCTTTGTGATCCTCTGTATTTTATTTTGTGCATTGGCCCGGCTGCCGGAGGGCCCAGGACAGGGCTTAGACTCTGTTGATCTAGAATGTGTTAGCACAGCTGGCAGTAGGGTCACCTAGGCCAAGGGCACCAGGACCTGAGCACCCAGCCCGACAGTTCTGGAATGAGGAGAGCCTGGTGATGTGGAAAGGGATCCCCTTAGAGTTTGGCGAGCATCCCCAGGCATCCTGAGGGACCCGGGGCAGAGCTGGCAGCTCCGTGGGTGGAAGTCTTGGGGGGGTTGGGTGCTGGGGTTCAGGGGACGACGGTGACCTCTTCTCTCCCCCACCTCCCGCCCCCAAGCTGTGCTGTCTCCATGCTGACATGCTGGCCACGCTGGGCCCCAAGGAGGCCAAGAAAGGCTTTCTGGATCTCTACCACAACTTCCTAGAGAAGACGGCGGTGAGGAAGGCCCTCTCCCCCTCCCTGCCCCCAGACTCCCCTCCCCCACCCAGGTGTGAGGAAGCCCCTTCCTGCCCACTTCCACCCCTCATGAGGCTTCTCCTTTGGGCAGGTCCTGCGCGTGCCCGTACCCCCGTCAGTGTCCTTTGAGCTCGGTAAGTTGTAGCAGGGGGCCTCGGGAGGGGGGAGCCCAGCCCAGGCTCTAGGGCCACCATGCCCACCGTGCCCATCCCATAGACCGCACGCGCCCAGAACTGCTCCCTGAGGAGACCCAGCGGCGATTCCTCCAGGAGGTGGTTCGGGCCCAGCAGAACACCGTCTCCCGTCAGCTCGAGGACTTCCGGTCTAAGCGGCTCATGGGAATGACCCCTGGGGAGCCAGAGTTGTCCCAGCTGGAAGCCTGGGCAGCCCGGGACAGGGTCAGCTTTGAGGGCCGGGAGCGCCTCGTGGCAGAGAGGCTCCTGAACCGGCTGGAGGACGTGCAGTGAGTGACCCAGGCCCCCTGCCGACCTGGACCTTTGCCTTCCTGGGGGTGAGGGTGGGCTGTCTCCTCTGCCTCTCCCGGCTCTCCGGCGGGGTGGGGGGGCTCCCCAAGTGGAAGGGCTAGCCAGGAAGCAGCTGACCAGCCTTTCCCTGACCCTCTCCCCACAGCCCGACCAGCTCCATGGATGAGGAAAAGAGGTGATTCCTGGGATCTCCCTCTGGGGTGGGGGCTGGGGGGCCAGGGCCCCTGGGTCCCTTGGGGTGAAGGGAGGTGGGGATCAGAACCACCCCAGCTTGTGGGGAGGGTGCTGAGAGGTGCCCAGCGGGCAGGGGCCTGGCTCACTGCTCGCTTGCCCCCAGCGTGGCGATAGTGAACGCGATCAGCACCTACATGCGCTACCTCGGCGTTCGGACCAAGAGTGGTGACAAGAAGGCCCGAGGGAACTTCTTCCGGAAAAAGGTGCCTCCTTCCTTCGCTTCCCCTAGGCCTGCCCAGTGTGGGGAGGGAGGAGGCTGCTGACCACTCTGACCGCCATTCCCCCACAGATGAACCGCCGCACAGATGATCCCACCAAGACCAAGAAGAGCTTCATAGGCATGCTGGATGCGGCCCTCTGGAGCCGCGGAGAGGCACAGGGTGAGCACCACCCCCCGGACCCCCCCAGGCCCCGCTCCCCACCTCCGCCCTCACAGTTCCTCACGGCCCCTCTTGTTTTTTTCAGCTCCTGACTTCCGACACCCGAAAGCTGAGAGTGACGGTAACTGCCCTAACCTTGGGGTCCCCTGCCCTTGGGGTCTGAGGGAGGCTGGGCCTGGGCTCCCAAGGACAAGGGGTCAGTGGCCCTGATCCTGCCCTTCCACCCCCAGGTGAGAAGTCGGGGCTTCCCGAGCGGAAGATCAGCCAGGTGACTCCCCCAAGGGGGATCGTTGGGCCTCCCGGTCCGGATGCCCCAGGAGTCACTGTGCATCCCCCTCCAGGTGAAAGCCCGGACAAGGAGCCAGGTGAGAAGGGGTTTCTCCCTCAGATAGCTGCTCCTGGGCCCAGGGACAGTCCTCCCATGTGGGAGCGGCCCCGTGATTCTCACCAGCTCATGATTCAGACATCTCCAGGCTCTGAGTATGAGATTCCGTGGTCTGCCCTGGGAACCCCCTCTCGTAGTCCAGCTCATGGGAGTCCCCAGTTCTGAGACTCTTGGGCTCTGGGTCCCCCCTTGCAGCTGTCATTTGTTTAAGTCTTGGGTTCCAAGACCCAAAGATCCCCAGGGGGCTCCCATGCAAGATCTCGGGTTCTCCTTTAGGGCCCCCAGAAAGGGGGGCTGCGCCTTCAGATCAGGAGACCACAAACTCACTCTAGATTGGGTGGTGTCTGGGGGTGTTGTGTGTGTGTGTGTATATGTGTATGCATGATATGTGCATGTGTGATGTATGTACACATGGGTAATATGTGTAACGTGTCTGTGTGCACGTGTGCTGTGTGTGTGTGTTGGGGTGTGAGAGGCAGAGCTCTTCTTGGGGCCTAGGCTCACCCTTGGCCTCCGGGCAGGGTCCTTTCTGTCTGGCCCCCCCAGCTGTCCTCGCAGCCCCCCCTCCTGGGCCTGCTGAGCAGGGTGTCAGGGCTGCCTCCAGACTGACCCCACCCGCCCCGGACCTCAGAGAGTCCCAGCTGCTCTGGGCCAGCGGTCTGTTCTCCACCCTCATGACAGCATTGTTACTGGACTTGGGGAGGGGGTGCCCCATTTGTGAGGGGGGCTCTGAGTGCCGAGGTCTTGGCCATGGGCTGGCCAGATCTGGGACCCGAGGCAGGCTGGAAGGCCAGCTGCCTTCATTCCCGAAGGAAACAAATGTCTTCTCTCTCTTCAGGTACTGATCCACCCTCAGAAGTGGGGGACCCACCCCCCCAAGGCCCATCAAGCTCAGAGTCCCCCATCTCCCAGAGAGCAGCACAGAGGATGGGGCCGACACGGAGAGGTAGGAAGGGGGCCGGGGCTGAGTAGGGGCTTCAGGTGGGGATGGGAAGAGGGGAAATGGGAGCAGGTGGGGCGTCTGTTTGGGGAGGGAGAGAGCTGTCCTGCCTGCCGCCTGCCTGCCTGCCAGCCGCCAGCCCATCCTCCTGCCACTTCCCCTCTCCGCTTCCCCCTCCACCCTTATCCCCTCCCACTTGAATTTGTTCCATTTCATGGTGGACAGAGTCTTAGCCTTGACGGAGAAGGCCGGGGCCACGTCCCAGCTCACCCACTCACCAGCTCTTCCACCCTAGGCAGGTCACGGCCCCTCAGGGCTTCGGTAACTGCTGCTTTAAGTCTGAGGACTCTCCGAGCTCCGGCTCGCTGTGTCTGTCAGCTCTGAGCCCTCTGGTGTGCCAAGGCCAGAGGCCAGAAGGCTCGGGGGCCTCAGAGAGCCGAGACGGTGGGGAGCGGGATGAGAGCCAGAGTATGGGGCTGGGGGACGTTGGGCCAGGATGGAAGGCCCCCTGGGCCGAGCGGCTCTGGGCCTCCACAAGGAGGCAGCCGTGAGTGGACCTCAGAGGGCCCGGACAATTCCAGCTGGACTTGGGCTAGGCCTGGCCTGTCCCTGAGGGGCCAGCCACGGCCGCCCCCGCCCTGAGCTTGAGGTCGCTCTCTTACATAAGCATGGCTCTGATGGGCTCTGGTTCCCCTTCCATTCCATCAGTGGTTCTCTCGTGGGCTATGTGCCCTTGGGCCACTCCCTTCCCCTCTCTGGGTCTCAGCTGTCCCATGTGTCAAAAGAAGAGGTTGGACCAGATGACCTCTAAGCACTCCACCTTTTTTCTTTCTTCCTTTTTCTTTTCCTTGCTCTTCTCCCTCTTTCCCTTCTTGTCTTACTCCTCCCCTTCTCTCCCTCCCTTTCTCTTCTCCCTCCTCCCTTTCTCATCTCCCTCCTCCCTTTCTCTTCACCCTCCTCCCTTTCTCTTCTCCCTCCTCCCTTTCTCTTTTCCCTCCTCCCTTACTCTTTTCCCTCCTCCCTTACTCTTTTCCCTTCTCTCCTTTTTCTTCCTCCCTCCTTCTTCTCTTCTCCCTCCTCCCTTTCTCATCTCCCTCCTCCCCTTCTGTCCCTCCCTTTCTCATTTCCCTTTCTTTTCTCCCTCCTCCCCTACTCTTTTCCCTCCCCTCCTTTTTCTCCCTTCCCCTTCCCCTTCTCCTCTTCCCTTCTCTCTCTCCATTTCACCACACTCAGCTCCTGCCTCCCTACAGTGTTACCCCCACCTTGCTACATGCTGCCCCGGGGGCCTCGCCCCCCTCATGGTTGGGGGGGACGGGCACAGCCCCCAGCCCGTCCTCGTGCTGCTGCTTTGGGAGACCTGGGGGGTGGGGCCCATCTGGGGCACCTCTGACCCTGAACCTGCTCTTTCCCCAGAAAGTGGAAGAGGTGGGTGCCTGGGCCCTGGGGTGGGGGAAGGGGTCTATCCCTCTCCCCCATGTCTTCTCGGCCTCCTTCCCCCTCCCCATGCACCACCCCACCTATCCTGGGAACAGCTAAGTATCCGATGCCCCCTCTCAGGCTCTCTGAAGCCTGCCCCCTGCCCTGCCGCCCCTGCCCCTCAGAAGTGCGGGGTGGGATGCCTTCTGGAATCCATTGCAGCCCAGGGTGGGACTCGGGTTCCTGCTTCCTCTCTTCCCCTGGGGTCCCTCTCCCTGCCTCCATCCCAGGCTCCCAGAGTCCCTCATGGCCTGTTCCCCTTCCCCAGCCTCCCCGACCTCAGGAGCATGGCCTGTAGTGCTGACTCTGTCTTCTCCCTGTTGCATGTTCTTCCCCCCTGGATCCCTGTCCTGTCTTTCCCCTCGCCTCTGTCTCCTACCTTGATTTCTCTTCTTGCCTCTTCTCCTTGCCTGATGTCCATTCCCATTCTTTGGTCTCTGACATCATCTCTGCCTCCCCTCGGTCTCTGTCCTGGTCTTTGTCTCCCCTTGGTCTCTGTCTCCCCTTCATCTCTGTCCTCGGTCTCTGCCTGCCCTCGGTCTCTGTCCTGGTGTCTGTCCTGGTCTCTGTCTCCCCTCGGTCTCTGTCCTCGGTCTCTGTTTCCCCTTGGTCTCTGTCCTGGTCTCTGCCTCCCCTCGGTCTCTGTCCTGGTCTCTGTCTCCCCTCTGTCTCTGTCCTCGGTCTCTGCCTTCCCTTGGTCTCTGTCCTCGGTCTCTGTCCTGGTCTCTGCCTCCCCTCGGTCTCTGTCCTCGGTTTCTGTCCTGGTCTCTGTCTCCCCTTGGTCTCTGTCCTCGGTCTCTGTCTCCCCTCGGTCTCTGTCCTCGGTCTCTGTCCTGGTCTCTGCCTCCCCTCGGTCTCTGTCCTGGTCTCTGTCTCCCCTCCATCTCTGTCCTCGGTCTCTGTCTCCCCTCGGTCTCTGTCCTCGGTCTCTGTCTCCCCTCGGTCTCTGTCCTGGTCTCTGTCTCCCCTCCATCTCTGTCCTCGGTCTCTGCCTCCCCTCGGTCTCTGTCCTGGTCTCTGCCTCCCCTCGGTCTCCGTGCTGGTCTCTGTTTCCCCTCCATCTCTGTCCTCGGTCTCTGTCCTTGGTCTCTGTCCTGGTCTCTGTCTCCCCTCCATCTCTGTCCTCGGTCTCTGCCTCCCCTCGGTCTCTGTCCTTGGTCTCTGTCCTGGTCTCTGTCTCCCCTCCATCTCTGTCCTTGGTCTCTGCCTGCCCTCGGTCTCTGTCCTTGGTCTCTGTCCTGGTCTCTGCCTTCCCTCGGTCTCTGTCCTGGTCTCTGTCTCCCCTCCATCTCTGTCCTCGGTCTCTGCCTCCCCTCGGTCTCTGTGCTGGTCTCTGTCTCCCCTCCATCTCTGTCCTCGGTCTCTGCTTCCCCCTGGTCTCCGTCCTGGCTGTCTTGGTCTCCTCTCCCCCACTCTGGTATGTCTCACTCACCTGGGGCCCAGACTGTCTGGGAGATTGGGGCGCTCCGAGAGCCTTCGGGTGACCGACCGGCGCCGGCCATCCCGGGGCAGCCTTGGGGGCAAGGGCCGAGCAGGGGGCCGCTCCCGAAGCGACGTGGACACAGACCCTGGCTCTGCCACGGCGGCCCTTGGCTCCGCCCGACGTGCCACGTACGTCACCCTTCCCTTGACCACCCCCCCTCAGGATGAGCAGGAGAACGGAGGGTGCCCTGGTCACAGAGCCTGAGGGGGCGGCCGAGGTACCGCTCTGGCAGGGTGGTGGGCGGGGGCAGGGACTGGGGGGGGGCTGGATGCTTAGGGTGCCAGGCTAAGGGGTTCGGAGGGGACCGAGCACCAGGGTCCCTCACGGCCATCCATCCCACAGCCCTGAGCCAGGTGAGGAGGGGGAGCCGGGCCGCGGGGGGCTGGAGCTGGAGCCTGAGGAGCCGCCTGGCTGGCGGGAGCTGGTCCCCCCTGACACCTTGAGTGGGATGCACAAGAACCAGGTGAAGCGACAAGAGGTGATCAGTGGTGAGTCCCAGATGTGCGCCCCCCCCCCCCCCCCCCGCCCTGGACCTTCCCAACCCACCCAGTCCCTGCAGGGCCGCTGCACCCAGCCCTGGTGTCTCTGGTGACCTTCACAGCTCCTTGGTGAAAGCCACCTCCCTTGGGGACACCCGGCCTTTCCTCCGGCTCTTGGGGTTCCGGGCCCCCCACCCCCAGTCTCTCTTATGTGAGGCCCCTAAGCCTAGCGATGGCCCATCTCTCTTCTCTACCCTTCAGCCTTTTCTTGGCTCCTTCCCTGCCACCTACAGACCAGCCTGCATCTCTCCCATGCCCTCAGGCTCTCTGCCTGTACTCTCCTCCCTGTCTTCTCACTCCACCCCAGCTAATCTGGCCTCTCCCATTATCCTCCAGAGCTGGTCAACCCCCCCCCCCCATCTCTGCTTTGCCAAACACAAGGATGTTTCTCCCTCTTCGTCCGCATCCTTTCACCTGTTGACCACTTTCTCCTTTCTTGGGCTTCCCCCCCTGCCTGTCTGCCCACTCCTCCGTCCTCTCTGGGGCTGGTCCCCACGGTTCTGCCCTGGGCCCTCCCATCTTCCCTCTTCCACTTGGGGATCTCATCGGCTCCCGGGGCTCAGTGATCATCTCTATGTGTGATTCGCAGAGCCCCAGTGCCTCTCCTTCAGCCCCAGCCCCATAACACCCAGCTGCCCTCCTGGAGGAGGATGCTTCCAGACGGATGTCCTGTCAGCAACTCAAATTCAGCGTGTCTGAATAGGACTTCTCTTCCCTATCCCTGCCCCACCTACCCCTCTTCCAAGCATCCCCATGCCTCCTAAGAGCTCCAGGCTCTCAGCCTTAGCCACAGAGCCCGGCAGTCACCCTTGATTCCCAACATTTCTTCAGTCCATCTCTGGTGTAGGCCCTCATCACCTCTCCCCTAGACTGGTGCAGTAGCCTTCTGACTGGCCTCTCTAACCTCACGTCCATCTTTCATCCTCCCCCACAGCTGGCCCAATGATTTTCCCCAAACATGGGCCTAACCATGTCAGTCTCCTGCACCTGGGTAGCACAGTGGACTGGACTCAGGAAGACCCGAGTTCAAATTTCATCCCAGGCACTTGGACCTCAGAACCTGTGCGCCTGGGCATGTCACTTACTGGGGTGGAAAACCTTCAGCCTCGAGGCCACATGAGGCCCTCTAGGTCCTCAAGTATGGCCTTTTGACCGAGTCCAAGGTTTACAGAACAAATCCTTTTATTTAAGGGGATTTGTTGTGTGAAGTTTGGATTCAGTCAAAGGGCCGCACTTGAGGACCGAGAGGGCCACAGTGGCCTCGAGGCTGCGGGTTCCCCATCCCTGACTTGGCCCATCTGTGCCCCAGTTTCCTCATCTGTAAAATGGAAGTAATAATAGCACCTGCCTTCCAGGTTGTCGTGAGATAAATAATATTTGTAAAGCACTTTGCTATGAAAATTCTGGCTGATACCAAGATATCGCATGTGAGGCCAAACACACACTCTTCAGGCATTTAAAGCCCTTTACAGTCAGGCTGCAGCCTCAGTTTTAGATTTATTGCATTTTTATTCCACCTGCCCACCTCCCCTAAGTGTATATATGTGTGTTTGTGTGTGTGTATGTATAAAATATGTGTATACATGTGTGTGTTTATAATTCCTCTGATGGAATGTAAGTCCCTGGAGGGCAGGAACTGTTTCATTTTTATCTTTTTCTGCCCAGCATCTAGCCCAGGGCCTAGCACATTATAAGTACTTGATTGACCACTGGTGAATTTATCACCTAGGACAGCTAGGTGGCGCAGTCGATGTAGTGCTGGGCTGGAGTCTGGAAGACTCATCTTCCTGAATTACAGTAACTTACTAGCTGTGTGACCCTGGGCAAGTCACTTAACCCTGCTTGCTTCCGTTTCCTCTTCTGTAAAAGGAGCTGGAGAAAGAAATGGCAAACCACTTCCCTATTTTTTGCCAAGAAAACCCAAAAGGTATCATGGAGAATAGGACGCAATTGAACAGCTAAACTACAATATAGTGCCTGCTGTGTGCCGAGCACTGTGCTAAGCGCTTTATCTTATTGGATTATTATTGTTAATAATTATTATTATTATAATAAATACAGGGCCCAGAGAACCCTGGAAGGGGTTACACAGAGTCAGACGTGACTGAGAAACGACTGAACTGAACTTTTCACCGCTGGTGACTAATGGCCTCCCCCTTTCTCCAGTGACCCCTGGTGGCACCCTGCCCCTGCTTGACCGCTATCCGTTGTAGTGACTGCCCTTCCCGGGGAGCTCTCCTGTGCTATCTACCCCCTGGTAGGACAGGTGCCTGGATCTACGACCTCTGCCTCTCCCCTCTAGAGTTGCTGGTGACGGAGGCGGCCCACGTGCGCATGCTTCGGGTTCTCCATGACCTCTTCTACCAGCCCATGGCTGATGGGGGCTTCTTCACAATGGACGAGCTACAGAACATCTTTCCCAGCCTGGATGAGCTGATCGACGTGCACTGTGAGTAGGGTTAACCAGCCAAGGCCTTCTCCCACTCCCTCCTTTCACTCAGCGTCCCTATCCTGGGGCCTGCTCCATCCCTTGGAAGGTCCTCCCCACACATACACTCACCTTCCCAGGCCCTGGGTATTTATGGGCTTTGTGACAGAACTCCCTGTGCTGCCCCAGCTCTGTTCCTGGAGAGCCTGATGAAGCTACGGCAGGAGAGCGGCTACCTCATCGAGGAGATTGGAGATGTGCTGCTGGCCAGGGTGAGTTGGGTGCCCAGATCCCACCAACCCAGCGGCCAGGGTGCCCCAATCTCTCCTTCACCCCCAGGGGCCCAGGTGTCCTCATTCCTCCATGTACTGCCAGCCCCCCGAGGGACCCAAGTGTCTGGATTCCTCCAGTCCCTTTGGACCAACCTGCCCAGGCCCCGGATGTCCCTGGTCACCCAGCGTCCTCCCTTCGTGGCCCCAGGTGTCCTTGGTCACCCAGTGTCCTCCCTTTTGGGACCCAGGTGGACCGGTTTGCTGAACTACACTGCCCCCTCCCCTCCTTAGCCACTCCTGATTCCCTGTTCCCAGCCCTGGCCCCCTCATTGACTCGGTTTCTCTCCCCAGTGGCTCTCAGGATCCAGCCCTTAGTCCTCCTTCCTAGCCAGTTCTGTGAGGAGCGTCTGAGGGGAGGCATGGTGTGCACACACCCCCTCCCCAATAATGTCTCCGCAGTTTGATGGCCCTGAGGGCTCCTGGTTCCAGAAGATCTCTTCTCGATTCTGTAGCCGGCAGTCCTTTGCTCTGGAGCAGCTCAAGGCCAAGCAGAGAAAGGAGCCGAGATTCTGCACCTTTGTGCAGGTGGGGCCCAAGGGGCCAGGGATGCAGGGGCTGGGAGTCAGGACACTCGGGTCCCTGGGGTCACCTTTCTGCCTTTACCCCCAGGAAGCAGAGAGCAGGCCCCGCTGCCGGCGGCTACAGCTCAAAGACATGATCCCCACAGAGATGCAGCGACTTACAAAGTACCCTCTGCTTCTGCAGAGCATCTGGCAGAACACAGGTGAGCATGTGAGAGGGGAGGAGGGGAGAAGGGAGGGAGCAGGGAGGGGGAGGGGGAGGGAGCAGGGCCTCCCTCCACTGATCAGGGAGGGAAACATGGTGGTGGGCAAGGAGGGGACAAAGCCTCCTGGCTCCCAGAACCCATCCTCTCTCTGGCCTAAAGTTCCATCCTGATCGAGGAGCCCTCTCTCCTTGGGCCATAGAGACCACCTGCTCTGATCACTTTGTTCAGAAGAGGAAACTGAGGCTCAGAGAGGGGGCAGGGTCTTGCCCTAGTTATGATGCAGCAGAGAGAAGGTAGAATCAGAGACCCAAGACCTGGGGTGTAGCCTTGACTTTACCACTCAGTTGCCATGTGATGCCTCAGTTTCTCCTAAGTAAAATGGGGTTGTGGCTAACTTTCCAAAGGGCCTTCTAGCTCTGATATGCTGTGGTATCAGTCAGAGAGAGGGCTGCCTGCTAAGGGCTGAGGCCTCTTCCTGACACATCCCTTCCCCATCCCTCTAGAGGAGCCAAAGGAGAAGGCAAAGGTGGAGCAGGCTGCTGAATGCTGTAAGGAGATTCTGCATCATGTGAACCAGTCTGTGAGAGATATGGAGGACCTGCTGGTAAGGATGCAGTGAGCTGGGGAGGTGGGGAGGGGGAAGGGAGGGCTTGGGGGGTGGGAGAGCTGGGGGGGAGGAGAGAGAGCTGGGGGGAGGGAAGGGGAGGAGAGAATTTGGGAGGAGAGCAGCGGGGAGGGGTCAGCGGGCCAGAGTCCGCCTGTGTCTGCAGCGCCTCAAGGACTACCAGCGCCGTCTGGACCTGTCCCACCTGCGGCAGAGCAGTGACCCCATGCTGAGTGAGTTCAAGGTGGGTCTTCTCCTTGCCCCTGCCCCCTCTGGTCCAGTCCAGCCCCCGGACCACTCCCTCTCCCTTCCCTCCCATCCCTTCCACCGTGACCTTGGCCACGTTCCCTGCACCAGAACCTGGACATCACCAAGAAGAAGCTGGTGCATGAAGGGCCCCTGACCTGGAGAGTGACCAAGGACAAGGCTGTGGGTGAGTGGGGGCCACGGGGTGGGGAGGGGCAGGGGAGCCCAGCAGGCCCTGACCCGCCCCTCCCCCCCCAGAGGTGCATGTGCTTCTGCTGGACGACCTCCTGCTCCTGCTGCAGCGCCAGGATGAGAGGCTGCTGCTCAAGTCCCACAGCCGCACGCTGACCCCGACGCCCGACGGCAAGACCATGCTGCGGCCCGTGCTGCGCCTGACCTCGGCCATGACCCGTGAGGTGGCCACCGGTGAGCTGGGGCTGCGGCTAGGCGGGCGGGGAACCTGGGCTGCTGTGAATGTGTGAGAGAGAGAGAGAGAGAGAGACAGAGATAGAGATCAAGGTGGAGAAAGGAAGGGGTGATGTGTGTGAATGTGTATATGTGTGTGTGTGTGTGTGTGAGAGAGAGAGAGAAAGTGTGCAAGAGAGTGTGTGAGTGTGTGTGTGTGTGAGAGACAGAGACAGAGAGCAAGGTGGAGAAAGGAAGGGGTGGGTTGTGTGTGTGAGAGTGTGTGTGAGCGTGTATGAGAGTGTGTGTGTGAGACAGACAGCAAGGTGGAGAAAAGAGGGGGTGGGTTGTGTGTGTGAGAGTGTGTGTGAGCGTGTATGAGAGTGTGTGTATGTGTGTGTGTGTGTGAGAGACAGAGCAAGGTGGAGAAAGGAGGGAGTGATGTGTGAGTGTGTGAGAGAGTGTGTGTATGTGAGTGTGTGTGAGAGTGAGAGAAAGACAGAGACAGAAAGATGGAAACAGACAGAACAAGGTGGAGAAAGAAGAGGGTGGGGTGTGTGTGTATGTACATGTGTGTGTATGTACGTGTGTGTGTGTGTATGTGTGTGTGAGACAGACACAGAGCAAGGTGGAGAAAGGAGGAGGTGGTGAGTGTGTGTTTGTGTGAGTGTGTGTGAGTGTGCGCACACACACACCCCAAGCCCCGGGGCAGGACCCAGGCTTTCTGGGGCAGTGAGGGACAGAATGGGCCCCCAGGAAAGCAAGGGGGCTGCCACGAGCCTCAGGGCCCCTGCAGAGGATGGGAGTAGGCGTGTGGAGCCGTAGAGGACACAGCAGGGACGTTCTGGGGAGGAGGGGCAGGGCCCCTGGAGGCCACTGGGAAAGAGGGCAGAGGCTGTGGGGCTGTGGGGGACACTGAGGGAGGGTGGGATCTCAGGGGTGACCCGCAGGAGTGGGCGCCATCCCGGGGCTGACTGTGGCTCCCCCCCTGCACAGACCACAGGGCTTTCTACGTCATCTTTACCTGGGACCAGGAGGCTCATATCTATGAACTGGTGGCCCAGACAGTGTCGGAGAGAAAGCAGTGAGCAGCGGGTGACTGTGGGGGTGTTGGCTGGGAGTACCCTGCACCCCACCTTGGGTGGGTTCCCCCGGCTTCTGGAAGAGGGCCCTTCCAGCCTGGCCTAGGGCAGGAGTGGGGAGACGGGCGTGGCCCCCCAGCTGCTGTCCCCTGCTCTGCTCTGTCCTAGCTGGTGTGCCCTCATCACCGACACTGCCGGCTCTCTGAAGGTCCCAGCCCCTCTCGGGAGGCTCAGGTCCCGCCCGAGCCCCACCAGGTGAGAGGCCTCCCCCTCCCTGTGTGTCCCCTTCCCCTGCTGCCCCCTTCTCCCCTCCCTCACTGCCCTCCCCCTCCTCAGGTGCGTCCCCCTCTTTCCGGGCCCCCTGTGTTTTTCCAGCCCTTCCCATGCTGGGTCTCCTTCCCCTCAGTACTCGGGAGCCCCTGATCAGCATCTCTGAGAATGGAAACAGCAGCAGAGAAGCCCCTCAGGCCGAAGGTAAGGGAGGCGCTGGAGAGGAGGGGGCTGGGCTGGGGCCACAGGGGCGGCTGTCTGAGCTGGCTCCCTACCCGCAGCAGGCCGCTGTGAGCGCATCCTGTCTGACCTGCTGCCCTTCTCCTGCCCGGACACGGAGGGACAGCTGGCGGCCTCTGCCCTCCGAGAAGGTAACCGAGGGGCCCCGTCCCTGCCCCGCCTCGCCTGGCCATCCCTGTCCTCGTCACTGCCTGACCTTTCTCCAGCCCGGGTCCCAGATCTGTCCCCACGTTCCTGACCCGCCTTCTCTCTGCCCCTCAGTTCTTTCGCTTAAGCAAATCCTGCTCCCAGCAGAGGAGGAGAACGGGCCTGGGCCAGCCCCGGAGGGTGAGGGGGTGCCTGGGGCTGCCCAGACCCAGGAGGTGCGGGAGAGACTTCTGACCTTGGAAGACACCATCAAGAGACTGGAGGTGAGCCAGGGCCAGGGCAGGTGGAGACGGGGAGAGGGACTGGGGGGGCTTCCCCTCACAGAGCTCCCCTCCTCTGTCCTCAGGAAGTAGAGGAAGAATTCTGTCGGCTCAGACTCGTCATTTCCCAGCTCAATGGGGCCTCCCCTAGCTAGGCCGGCTGCACCTGAGGGCCGGGCAGGTGAGCCCCACCGTGGAGGGTGGCCCTGGGGGACCAGGACATGGGGGCGCCCTCCAGAGCTGTGGGCCGGCTCCTTCAGGGAACAAGGCCCCCTCTTACCATGCCCCCCTGCCCCCCAGGGCCCTCTCCAAAGGAGGATGGGAAGGGGGAGGGGGAGATGTCGGCATGCTCCCTCCAGCGAATCAGCCACTGCCCATGTCTGCAGAGAGGGGGCCAGCAGGCAGGCGGGGCCCCCCAGGCTGCTCTTTCTCTTCTGTCCCCGGCCCCTTGGGGGATCTCAGGGCTTTAACCCAGCTCCCCTTCACTGATGGGATGTGTCAGTATTCCGCCCCCACCCGTGGGGGCCTTCTTCCCCAGCCCTTCCTTCTCCAGTGCCTTACCTGTTATGCATTGTTTTTATATTCTGAGGTTTATTTTTAATATATATATATATATGTATGTATATATGTATGTATGTATGTATTATGTCTTGGATCTGCCACTTACTACCTGTGTGACCTTGGACAGTTCCCTTCCCTCAGTTTTCTCCTCTGGGGAATGGGGAAGAGCTCTGCTGGCACTACCTACCTCACCCGGGAGTTGGGGGGGGGCCAGACGCCCCCGCCCCTTGAGTCTGTCTGTCGCTGTGTCTTCATGTCTCCATCCCACCCTGCCTGAGCCTGGAGTCCTTGAAGGTAGAGCTGGCCACGTAGGGAGCAAGCCCAGCCGGCCTTTGACCCTTTGACTGAGGGGCCACTGAGGCCCCAGGCTCCTCTCCCAGGTTGGGTGGGACTCTAAGCGCTGCCCTGGCACTCAGCGTCCTGAAGAAGAAACCTTCACACTCCCTTTTCATACCCAGAGTCCTTGGCATTACATGGGGAAAGCCTGGCCCTCTGACCCGTGGCTCGACCGTCTGCCCTCTGGCCTCACCAGGCCCTCTTCACCTCCCCCCAACCCCCAGTAACACATGACTCTTCAGTCCTTGTCCCAGGATGGATTTTTTCTCCCTTTTTATTTTTGTAATAAACTCTTCCCGTGGGGGGTAGGGGGTGGGGCGGATTTATTGCTCTGAGCCCCCTGGCCTCGGGCTGGGGGTGGGGTGGGAAGAAGGAGGCTTCCCCTTTATGACACAAGCACATCACGCACTAGGTTGGGGAGGGGGGCTCACAAACACATCAGGAATGGGAAGTGGGGGGGGCAACACCATATTGCACTTTGGAAGGGGGTGAAGCACAGCTGGGAACTCGTGGGGCAGGGGGAGGGGAAACTGTCCCTTCCCGGGGTGGGGGTGGGGGCTTGTGGACTGGAGAACCAGAGGGGGCCTTTGAGAAGGATCCATCTCCTTTAGCCCCCCCCTCCCAGTGCATGCCGGGCACTGGTCGGGGCCTTCCTGGAAGCCAGGATTTGCCCCTCGAATCCGCAGATAACAAAGCCCTATTTCCATCGCACCTGGTGCCCCTCAGAAGCCAGGGCAAAGGGGAGGGCCACATTTGGTCCCTTACTTGGGCTGGAAGGGAGGGAAGGAGCTGGACCCCTGGGGTTGAGGAGGAGGGGATTGAGTACCCTGCTGGTCTGGGGGAGGAGCACAGTGCCCCTTTTTGTGGGGGGAAACTACCTTGTCCTCCCCTCCTTGTGGGCTAGGGGGAGTGGAAGGAAGAGACTGTGTTCTCTGACTTAGTCGTGGGTGTGGGGGAAACCCTGACCCTAGGAGAGGGGAAGGAGGAGGGATTTAGAGCTGGAAAGGACCTTGAAGGTCATTGAGTCCAACATCCCTCTCCTCATTTTGCAGATGAGGAAACTGAGGCCAGAGAGGGGAAGGGATGGGTCCTAAGTCCATGCCCAAGTCCCTTTCCCTCTCTAGCCTGGGGAGGGAGGGCACTCCTGGGGTTTGGACTCAAGACCAGCTTGTAAAGGAGAAATGATCCCTTCTGGTCTCTGCCCCCTTCTGATTGGGATGAAGGGCAATATGTGGGGGCAGCTTCCTGGGATTTGGAAAGGACAAGTGGTCCCTCCCTTGGCCCTGGGAAGGGGGGGGTGAGCTTTGAGGGAGACCCTGGGGATACCATGTCCCCTTTTGATCTGGGGGAGGAGACTCTAGGCCCCCCGGAGGGGGAAAGGGGGAGGTAAGATTCCCTGTCCCCTCAGCTCCCTGCCCCACCTCGGCTTCCCTGACCCTCAGGGGGCCCTGGAGCACCATCATCGCCCTCACTGTCTGAGCTGCAGCCGCTGACATCAGTCACTTCCAGCTCAGAGTCGCTTTCCTCTTTGGGCCCCAGAGAGGGAACCTCGGGGACCCCTGTCCCGGGCAGAGTCAGACGGGCACCTGGGGCCAGGCTTGTGCGCTGGGATCCAGGTCCATCGCCAGTGGGGCCGGCCAGGAGGGGTGCTGTGGCAGGGCCCCCTCCCCCAGGCCCTGTGGGCAGCTGCCCCAAGGATCCAGCCAGGGGGTTGGGGTAGAAATGTGGTGGATATAGGGAGGCAGGCAGCTTGGGGAAGGGGCTTGCCAGGTAGGGGTTAAAGTTCCAGGGATACTCGGGAAAGGTGCGGCCGTAGGGGCTCAGGAGGGCAGGGGGTTTCGAGTAGCCAGCAGTACCTGGTTGGGAAGGAGAATTGAAGGTCGAAGTGAGGTGGTTCCCCCCACCTCACCCCTCAGAGCATCTCTCCTATCTCTGCTCTCAGTACCAAACCTTCCCCTGTCCAACATCTCCCTCCCTCAATTCCCCGAGCCTCACCAGGGCCCAGGAAGGGAAATGGCCCATCCAGCCGGAGTTTGTCTGTGTCTGGGGCAGACAGGTGTTGGGCAAACAGGGGCGTCCTGCTTCCTGTGTCCAGGCGTGGTGTGGAGAACAGGGTCTGTAATGCCTAGGGGCAGTGTAGAATTGAAGACTAAGCTTCCCCATTTATGCTTCAAGGAGCCAGGTGCCCTGATTGCCCTCCCTCTCCGAAACTCGAATATCCTGACCCCCAATCCTTCAGAGACCCAGGCATCCTGAATCCCTCCGCACCCCCAGGGACACAGTTAACCTGATCCTAGCTTCCTCTGGAATCCAGGAGTACTGATGAGTTCCCTCTTTAGTTCCTGGGGGACCCTCCCACCCCCAAAGCCCCCTGACGTCTAACCCTCACCCTAGACGTCCGGTTTTCTTGTGTGGCTCAGTAGCCCTCCCAGGGCCGCAGGTGTTCTGACCCCCAGCTCCCTCTGGGGGTTCAGTAATCCTGATATCCCAGCCCCTGCCCCTTCTGGAGATGCAGGTGTCCTGATTCCCCGTGAGCCTGGCTTACCTCTGGAGTAAGGGGAGGGCCGTCGGGCCCGGCTGCCCCCCCAAAGGGCCCCGGGGTGAGCAGCAGAGGGGCTGCGGCCATGTCCAACAGGGGGTAATTGACCAGCACGACTTTGCTGAAGTTGAACTTGTACGTGAACCTCTTCCCTTTGGTCTTGTGAAGGATGCGTTTGTTATAGTAATAACTGTGGAGGCAAGCGACACATCTCACCTGCGCCCCCTAACAGCTCTGGGGGATGAGGGTACCACCCCACAGGAGTCATCTTCCCCATTCACCACAGATGGGGAAACTGAGGCTCAGAGAAGATGAGAGAAGGGGTCTCAGATCATCTAGTCCAATGCCCTCATTTTACGGATGAGGAAGCTGAGCCCAGGGCAGTTAAGTGACTTATCCAGGGTCACACGGCTAGCGAATGGCAGAGCTGGTATTTGGACTTGGGTTCAATGCCTGTGGCACTATATCACAGAACAAGGGGGAAAGGGGAGTGTTCTGGACTGGGGTTAGATTTTGGAATAAGTATCCTGAAGCCCCATTTCCCAGGGACCCAGATGTCCTGACTTCCTCATCCTCCACCCTTCATCCTCCCTGGCATCCCAATCCCCTCAGCTCCTTGCCCCCCAAGGACTCAGGCATTCTGGATCCTCCCCCTCCCCTGGAATCCCAGTGTTCTGAATCCCCTCCCCAGCTACTCCCCGCTCAGTCCCAAACACCCTAAATCCCCTCACACCCTTTTGGGGACCCAGGCATCCTGATCTCCCCAGCCCCATCCCTCTGCGACCTAAGCTTTTCAACCTCTACAGCCCCCATCCTTGCTCTCAGTGACTCTGGCATCCTGGCTCACCGCAGGGCCCGGCTCAGCTTGTCATAGTTCATGTGGGGCTTGCACTTGCGGATGCCCCACAGGCGTGCCACCTCATCAGGGTCCTTGATGACGAACTCGCCATAGTCTCCCTGCCACGCGATGACGCCCTGGTACTCCTCCTTTTGTAGGAGCTCCAAGATGAAATGCCACAGCTGGATCTGTCGAGAGCCCGGGGACGACTCGGGCTTGTAGGCCCAGTCCGGGAAGGCAAAGCCTGTGGGAAGGAAGGAAAGACAGGGTGAGAGAAGGGCAGGCAGGAGTCAGGACAAAGGGGCCCGGCACCCTGCTTCTGCTGGAGGCATCCTTACTCCCCAACCTCCTCCCACTTGGGAACACAGGTGTCTCGATCCCCCAGATTCTCACTGAAGGACCCAGTCATCCTGATCCCGCAACCTCTTTCCATTTGCAGACACAAGCATCTCAATCTCCTGCAACTCGGGGCCCCAGGAATCCTGATCCCCTAATATCCTCCTTCTTGAAGACTTAGGAGTCCTGATCCCCCAACCTCTTCTCACTTGAAGACCCAGGAGTCCTGATCCTCCACCCTCCTCCTCAGACACCCAGGTGTCCTGATCCCCTAACCTCTTCCCACTTGGGGCCTCAGGTGTTCCGGTCCCCCAACCTCCTCCACCTTGGAGTCCCAGACTTTCTGAACCCCCAGCCCTGAGGAGGACAAAAGCATCCCAGTGCCTCAGGTTGGAATGACTTTATGGGCCATGGTGTGGGATTGGAATTAGGGGAAGGAGGTCTTTCTATACTTCCCCTCACCTCTCACATGGAGCCTAAAGCCAAGGTCAAGGCAGTCACCAGCTGAGGACTTTGCATGACACTGGCCTCTTATGCCTGAGGTGCATCAGGCCTTGATTCCTGCATGTCCACCCCAACTACGATCTGCCAGATCCCTGTGTCCCATCTTGCCAGCCCAGACCACTAGCCACTCCTGCCCCATCTGCCCAGAGTGGGAACCTTTGAGAAAGAAAGGAGTTGGCGAGGAATGTACAAGGCAAACCCTTGGCCTCTCTCCTCGCCTTAGTCCTGTCTGCCCAAATGTACTGACACAACCAGATACAAAGACAGACATACAGATCCAGGGAAATACAAACACAGACTCAATCACCCTTGAAGACTGGGCTGGTCACCCCACCCTACCACACACACTGTGACAGAGATGCTCTTAGAAGGAAATGCCTGTGATGGTCCCAGTTACACATACACACACTTTCTACTGGCTTCTCCCCTTCGGAATGATTGGGGTGGGGTGGGGTGGGGTGAAAGGGAATCTCAGGAAAAATGCAAGGGGAACCTTTCTTAATTGCCAGCTTGGAGACCCTCAGCTTTGCCCCCCTCCCATCCTAGTTATCAATTTCCTTATGTCCCATCTCCTAATCTCTCCCTCTCTCAATCCCACATTCCCCCAATGCCTCCATCTCCCAGTCCCTCTAATCTCCCAATTCAGGCCCATCTCCCAATCCTCACCTTACATTCTTCCCCTCCCCTGCCTTGCAGTTCTCCCTGGACCATTCTTCCATCTCTCAGGTTCTCATCTTACCCTCCAGTTCCCATCATCTCCATCTTCCAATCCCCCATCATCTCCTGCTCTCTTGAATGCTAACCCTCCCCCTGGCCACCGCCAAAGTGTTGGGGTCTTTGGGGGAAGTTTGCCATCCAAGTTTTTCATTTGGGAGGGAAATGTGGATACTCTTCCTTGAGAGAGCACAGTGACAGGAAAAGAGAGAGACAGACAGACAGGGACAGAGAGACAGAGACAGAGAGAGGCAGAGAGAGACCGAGATAGAGAGAAGAGGGAGGGGGGGGAGAGAGACACAGAGAGAGGAGGGGGAGAGAGTGAGAGAGAGAGAGAGAGAGAGAGAGAGACAGAGACAGAGACAGAGACAGAGATAGTAATTGGGAGAGACAGAGACCAAAGCAGTATAGAGAAAGAATGAAAGACAGAGAAAGGGGAGACAGAAACAGCGACAGAGCTGTGCAGAGACAGACATCTAGCAAGGGGCATGACAGCCTGACACCGAGTGGCGGAGATGCGGCAGAGTAGCAGAAAGAAAAGGGGAGGTGGACAGCGGCGCTGGGGCAGGGCCGGGAGAGTTACCCGGAGTCCAGAGTGCCGGCACCGGCGGGGTGAAGAGCAGATCCGAGACGCAGTTACAGTCCATGTCGGGAGCGCTGCAGAGAGGCCAGGGAGCCAGAGATACAGAGCCAGAGACGCGGAGACAGAGAGACAGAGACAGAGACAGAGAGAAGGGGGTGAGGCGAGGCGGCCCTTGGGCCCGAGAGCCCTTCCCCCACCCTCTCTGGCCCCTGTGCCCAGACTCCCCCAGTCTCCTCCGGCCTCCTCTCCCTTCCCTGCCCCTGGTTCCTGCATCCTCAAACGTCTCCCTCCCACCTCTCAAGGCCCCAGACTAGCTTTCAGTGTCTCGCCCCGCCGGCTCTCCCCCAGCTTGCCTCCTTCCCCATCGCTAAAACCACAGCTACCCTTACATCCTCCGTCTGTTCTGGGCTCAGGAAGCCCTGTCTAGCTCTGCTTCTGTCTCTGGATGTAACTATCTTTCTCTGTCTCTGTGTTATTTCTCTGTCTCTGCATGTAACTGTCTCTATCTTTCTCTTTCTCTGAGTTGGTCTCCTCCGGGGCTATCATGACTGTTTCTTTCACTGTCTTCTAAGTCCTTGTGTTGATTACTATCTTCATCCTCCTCCCCCCCCCCCAGCTAGAGCAAACACAGACACCTTCACAGACACATCGCGTGCACACGCACACACACCAGATTCTCACAGACCCCCACACCTAGAGACCCATCACAGACAGCCTCAGACACTTAGGACACCCCTTGCAAACCCATCCCATACACTCTTTCTGGCTTCAGTGCTACACCCTCTTTCACTCATCTCTCAATCTATCTTCCATCTCCCCCAGTCTCCCTAGTGCTCCCCACTTGCCCCAGATCTCTTTCCACATCCTCCATTTCTCCATCTCTCTGAATTTCCCCCTGCTACCCCATCTCTGCCCTCTTCATCCATCTCTCCCCACTTCATATCTTTACTTTCTATCCCGATCTCTTCACGTCTCTGCAAACAGCCCCTCAGCACCCAGTCTTATCTATTTTCCCCTCACTTTTCCCCCCTTCCTCTACTACTCGGCTCCCTCCCTTTCTCCCTCCATCTTCCTCCATCTTCTCTTCTTCCCCAGCTCTCCTCATGGCATTTTTCTGTATCTCCATCTCCCTCCACCTACCCATCTCCATCTTTTCATATCTGTCCCCAATCCCCCTCCTCCCTCCATCTCTCATCTCCCTCCATCTTATCTTCATCCTTCCCCCATCTTTTCTTCATCTCTCTCCCATCTCGTCCCATCTCTTCCTCTTCTCTCTCCCATCTCCTCTCCCCCTATCTCTTCTCCAGCTCTCATCTCTTCCTTATTTCTCTCCCACCTCTCCCCATCTCTCTCATCTCTCTCCATCTCTCCCTCATCTCTCCCCCATCTCCCATCTCTCATCTCTCTCATCTCTCTCCATCTCTCCCTCATCTCTCCCCCATTTCTCCCCCTCTTTCATCTCTCTTCCATCTCTTATCCGCTTCTCCCACATCTTTCCTTCATCTCTCCCCATCTCTCTCGCTTTCCCCCATCTCTCTCCTTGCCCCCCCACCCCCCGGCTCCCCCTCCCTGGGCCAGCTCATTTCCGTGTTGGTTTTGATTTCTCTTCCCGACGCTTTCAACTCCCCGCCGCCTCCTCCGGACACGTTATAACGAGGAGCCGGGGGACCGCCCGCCCGCTCCCTCCCAAGCCCTCCCCCACTGCTGCCAACCCTCAGTTTCCCCCTCCCTTGTCTCTCTGCCTCAGTCTCTGTCTCTGCCCCTCTTTGTTTCTTCTTCTCTGCCTCTATCGCACTCTTCCCTCTGTCTCTCTGTCTCTGTTTCTGTCTCTCTCTTTTCTTGCACTATTCTTTTCCGGGTCTGGCTCTGTGCGGCTGTGGCTCCATTTTCATTTCTTATCTCTCTCCGTCTCTGTTTCTCCCAGTGTCCTCACTGATTCTGTCTCTGTCGCTTTCCTCTGTCCTTTTTCTCAGGCCTGGCCGGGTGGGTGTGTGTGTGTGTGTGTGTGTGTGTGTGTGTGTGTGTGTGTGTGTGTGTGTGTCTTTTCTCTGTCTCCATCTCTGGGCCCTCCGTTGGCTTTTCTGTCAGTCTTTTTGTGTCTCCCCATTCTCTTTACTCTGTCATTTTCTCCAGGCCCAGGTACATGTGTGTATTGTCTCTGTCTCTGTCTCTCTCCATCTCTCAGTCTCTGCATCTCTGTTTTGCATCTGTTGTGTGTCTTTACCCATCTGGATATCTCTGTGGAGTTGGTATCTCTTTATCTTCCTGCCCGCGTCCTCTCTTTTTCTTTACATTCCGGCGTCTCTCTTCTCGCTCTCTCCCCTCCTCTCTCTCTCTTTTTCTGGGTATCTGTTGCGGATCCCTCTCAGTCTCTTTTTCCTGGACATGTCTCTTTCACTCTCCCATACTTGCTTCTATTTCTGAGTCTCTGTCCCAATCCCTGTCTGAATTTTTGTGGCCATGCCTCTCTCCCCATCTCCCTCTGCTTCTGTTTCTGTCTCTCTCTCTGCCTACCCCTCCATATCTCTCTATCTCTCCAATGGTCTCCCTAGGTCTGTCTCTGTCTCTGCCAGCTACTCCCACCCCCAACCTCTGGCTTTGATCTGCCTCTCGCCCCTGGCTCCCCTCCAGCCCCATTGATTCCCGATCGACCCAGAGGAGCAGGAAGGAGCCTGGGGCAACCCAGCATGGCCAAGGCTGAGGGTCCGGCTGGGACTGGGGCAGAGGGCTAGAGAGAGCTGGGACCAGAGACCAAGCAGTCTTTGGGTCTGTCTCTCTCTTTCTTTCTTCTTGTCTCTTCTGTCTCCATGGATATCTCTGTCTCTGCTTCGGAGGTACTTATGTTTTCTCTCTTTTTCTGCCTCTGGGTCTCACACTCTTGGTCTTTCCCCTGTCCCTCCCCCTGTCCCCTCCCCCCAAATCTCAGTTTCTCTGACTTGGCCATTCTCAGCCTCTGAGGCTCACTGTCTCAGTTTCTCAGTCTCTTGCTCTCTGTTTCCCCCACCCCTCCTCCAGCCTAGGTCTCAGACTCATACTTTCTCTTTCCCCCCCTCCTTCTCTCTCTCTCTCTCTCTCTCTCTCTCTCTCTCTCGTCTCTCTCTCTCTCTCACTCACTCACACAGGGATGGGGGCTTCGGGCAAGTTTTAATTTTTAATTTTATTTTGCTTCCTCTGCCCCCCCCCAGCCCCACAGCCCCCAGCACAGGTCCATGTGTGCACAGATTGGACACACACAGAGAAACACTCAACTACACAGTCACACACAGATTCACATTCACAGATCACACACACTCAAACACAACAGATACACAGTCATGGGCACACAGCCTCAGAGGCTGAGAGTGGCCAGGTCAGAAAAACTGAGATTTGAGGGGAGGGGGAAGGGGGGGAGACCAAGAGTGTGAGACCTACAGTCCTAGGCACACTAAAGGCACACACAGATATGTGTAACTCCCAGTCACACAGACTCACTCACATACAGTTAACTAGAATCCCACACAGGCCTGTAGCATGGACACACAATCATACACAGATTCACAAGGTATGCGATCACCCATTTGTACTCATGCCTAGACATAGTCACATAGAAACACAAAAAATATACAGATACAACACACTTCACAATTTGTAAAAATTGGTGGAGATTTACTGATCATTTCCATGGGTGCCCCCAGCCCGCTTCATCTATCTCTGTCTCTGTCTCTGCCTGTCTCTGGGTCCCCTGTTTCCACCCTTCCCCTGGAGCTGGGATTTACCCAGCTGTTTTGATTCCTTAAAGCTCCCGCAGCTGCCTCTGGAGCTGCCTCGGGCCTGACTCCCTCCTCCCCACCCTTCACCCTCGGACCCCTCCCTCTTTCCTTTTCTCCCTCTCTCCCTCCCTCCCTTTCCCCCCTCCTCCCCAGGACACTGTCTGCACAAGTGGAATGAAAATTGATTTTTTTTTTAAATTTCATATCGTCTTCAGGCTCAGTCTAAGAAGGAGGCACCGAGACATGGCCCAGGCCCCCAAGCCACACACAGCCACACACACACACACACACACACACACACACACACACCCCACACACACACTCACATACAGATCCATCTAGCTAGTTCACATTGCCCTGTGCCCTCAGATACCCATTGAGCCTCACATGTACAGCCTGTCCCCCACTGCTCACACACACACACACACACACACACACACACACACACACACACATACCCTCCCTATCTCCCAAGCCCACCTCTTCCACTCAGTCCTAAAGAAGAAAGCCCACTCATCTGCTTGGCCTCAGACCCTCACCCATTCACCACTGGACTCTCAGTCTCTCTGCTCCTGGGCCCCAGATGGTAGATGCACACACATTTATTTACCCCACACCCACTTGAAAAAACCCAACCTTGGCCTGACCATAGTTCTACCTCATTCAGAATCCCGTGGAGATACACACACACACACACACACACACACACACACACACACACACCCCACCACCACCACCACATTAGATCCCCCCCATGCATTTAATTATTCATTCAATAAAGGAAAAGCATATATAAACACACACACACACATAGACACAGATATATTTAGACCCTGGACACACACATGTTTAGTTATTCATTCAATAAACACAGAGACATGAGAAGAGGCACAATCATTCCTTGAAACTCATACCTCTTGTTCATACTATGAGGTCCCCCCAGTCACTGGTGTATAAAATGGCATGTGTCAGCATAGATACACGTACACTTAGATCCTCATGACAACCCCTCCCTTATCTCCCGGGCTCTCATCCTGACCCTCATCTCCCAAGTTTCTCTAGCCATTGTCTGACACCCTTTCCTTGTTCTCAACCTGAGTCTCTCTCTCTCTCTCTCTCTCTCTCTCTCTCTCTCTCTCTCTCTCTCTCTCTCACACACACACACACACACACACACACACACACACACACACTGCAGATAGACAACTTCACTTCTCAGGACCAAAGCTTTTATGGGAAAGAGAGCTCTGTGGGGGTGTCATGGGGTTCCAGTGTGATTCAGCCATTGAGCGTCGGGTTCTGGAGATAAAGGTTTGTGTTTGACAGAGGTGCAGTGAAAAGCTGGGAGAGGGGCAGGAAAAATTGTCTACA